CCGGAGCCAGCTGCGGCCGCTGCTGCTGCTGAGGCTGCTGGGAGGAGAGGGGCTGCCGCTGCTGCTGAAGCTGCTGCTGACGCTGAGCCTGGTACCACGCCGCTGCTCCACCTCCCGTGGCCGGAAGTACAGGAGGCGACTGACGAACTCGGGCGTCGCCACCACCAGCAGGCGCAGTGGAGTCACCAGTCGCTGCACGAGACGCCTCTCCAGGCCCTGCACGCCCACCGCCGCCAGGCGCAACGTCACCTCCACTACCTCCGCCTCCACCACCACTACCACCACTAGAACCGCCTTTCTTGCCACCCCTACCGCGGGACCGCGACGCAGTCGTAACAGCAGCTGCAGTCGCGTCAGTAGCGGCAGTGGCAAGAGAGGCAGTAAAGGTGGGTAACTGCGGGACTGTGCACCCGTGGAAGAGTGGGGGGGGCACAGCACCAGAGGCAGCGGCTACCGAGCGAAGGTTGCTCTCGACGTCCTTGAGCGCAGACTCAAGGACCTCGACGGTGAGCTCACTAGGGTGCTTCAGCAGAAGCGCGTCGCGAACGGAGGCAAGGCGGTCAGGGAGGCTAGTGGCGATGAAATAGATAGTAATCGCCATAGGGGGAGGAAGCAGTGCAAGCTGTGCCTCAGTGCAAGCAGCGCGGTAACTAGCGTCGAGCGAGCGGAGGTGAGCGATCAAGTCAGCAGAGCGCTCAAAAGACGCTAGGTCAGGAAAAAGGAACGGGAGGAACAGGCGGCCAAGAGAGACAGCAGCGGGAGAAGAGTAGCGGGCCTTAATCGCAGTGAGGTACTCAGCAGCGGTGCGAACCTGAGTGAAGTGAACCTCCTCAGACTCAGGGAGGAGGCTGCTGAGCGCGATGCAGGCCGCAGCGTCACGTGACGTCCAAGCCGTCTGGTCAGCTCGCTGAGTGGCAAAGCGGGCTCTAGCGGCGTCGTCAGGGGCAGGTCCTAAAGGCGTAGGGTCGGGGGGCGCAGGTAGGGCACCAGTAGCGTGCGCCCAGAGGGTCTCGCCTGCCTGGACCTGACTCTCTAACAGACGGCGAGCACGAAGAAGCCAGACGGAAAAATCAAGAGGTCTACCGTCAGCGTCGAAACGAAGCACACGCGGAGTCGCCATAGCGAGAACTAACGCTAGGGATACAGTGGCAGCGGAAGAGCAGGCTAGGGTTGAGACGACGGGCTGGGGAAAGGGGCGAGCCGCTACAGGGGAAAGGGCGGGCCGCTACAGGGGAAAGGGCGGGCCGCTACAGGAGGGGAAGGGGCGGGCCGTGACGGAGGGAAAGGACGGGCGAGACGCGACGGGGGGAAAGGGACGCAACGGGGGAAAGGACGGGCGGGACGCGACGGGGGGGAAGGGGCAAGACGAGGGGAAAGGACGGACGGGACGCGCGGGTCGACGGGCAGCAGGGGGAAACGCGGGTCGACAGGCAGCGGGGGGAAGCGCGGGTCGACGGGCAGCGGGGGGAAGCGCGGGTCGACGGGCGGCGGGGGAAGCGCGGGTCGACGGGCAGCGGGGGGAAGCGCGGGTCGACGGGCAGCGGGGGGAAGCGCGGGTCGACGGGCAGCGGGGGGAAGCGCGGGTCGACGGGCAGCGGGGGGAAGCGCGGGTCGACGGGCAGCGGGGGGAAGCGCGGGTCGACGGGCAGCGGGGGGAAGCGCGGGTCGACGGGCAGCGGGGGGAAGCGCGGGTCGACGGGCAGCGGGGGGAAGCGCGGTTCGACGCGACGGGGGGAACGGGCGCGACACGACGTGGGGGGGGAACGCGACGCGACGGGGGGTAAGGGCGGGCGCTACGGAACGAGGGGAACGGGTGGCGCGGACGGGCGCTAGGCTCGGCACTACGCGCGGTAACAACGGAACCGGGACGAATGAGAGCTAGGATCAGGCTCGGGAGGCTCGAACGGAGAACGGAGGAACGGGATCCCACAGGATCCTAACCTAACTGATACCATGTCAGAATGAGGAATGGATGATGCATTGATGTTGGTTGGGGTACATATAGCTAACCCTAAGTTTTGTACCCCCTAAGACAAACCTCACTATAGGCTACACATTTGACAATTACCGTTTTCTACGGTGTATACAGTGCTATATCCGTTATTTGTATGCCCTAGGAGATTGGCCAAGCAAAGCTGGTCGCGTTTGGAAACCGGGGGAGCGTCAAAGATGTCGACCCGTCAACTGACCGCGAAAAAACATACACACTTCCACAATACCCAAGGGATGTGATGGTGTGTTTTTTGCTTGCGGGCAACTGACAAGCCGTTTGGTTTCTCGCGCCCCACGGCAACACGGTTTCAGGAGTTGACGTTTTGACTGCCCGCTGACTAAGCTGCCGTTGAAACGCGGCTCATCCCCTTGCAATGCTGATGGTTCCGTACGGCCGGGCTGTCCGCGTTGGGTTCGAATCGAGAGCCGGCGATATCTTTTTTGCCTGTCGCGAGCCGGCAGGGTAACCCGATGGTCCCGGAGTCACTCCGCCCGCCCCGCGCGACTCTGATTCGAGAACTCACGGGAATCGCGGAAGAAGTTACCTTCTGAGCGACTTTCGCATTGCCACCCAAACCGCGCTTTCGCGAATTCCACGGTCTCGTTTTGCCGAGTCAAACAGCTGGAAACCGTACGACTGAAGCGAATGGCGCCTTCAAAATGCTGATCGCGCCCCTCAATTTCTCAGCCTTCCTTCTCACTGCCCGCTTTGTATTACCGTACCCCTTCACACGAAGTTCTGACGCGGGCAGACACGTTAGTGATCCTGAGCAGGCGACTACGAATGTTCATAATTTCGTCGTAATCTCACTTTCAATTTTCGAACAATTTATTCCACACTTCGTTAATTGCCAGATCGACGCCAGCCGCTGAATGGCCTTGTTTTCACCTACTTTCAACGAGTTCCATCGCCAGTACGAGTTAATAGAAGAGCTCGGTCGCGGGCAATACGGCGTAGTGCATCGCTGCGTCAATCGCGCCACGGGAGAGCATTTCGCGTGCAAGCTCGTCGGAGACTCTCTCAACCTGAAAAATCCCGCCACTGCCCTGCACGCGGCTCGACGAGAAATCCGAAACTTGCTGCTTCTAGACGACTGCAGCCACGTGGCAGCGCTTAAAGACATATACCGCGACGCGGAATCCGGGTCGCTGTATCTAGTAATGGAGCTGTGCGCGGGAGGAGATCTCCTGCGCCGCGTGGAAGAGAGGGGGCGGATTCCCGAGCGCGAGGCGCGCAGCGTGTTCAGAGACATGGCGACAGCGGTGCGACAGTGCCACGAGCGCGGCGTGATGCATCGAGATATCAAACTCGAAAACGTCCTCCTCTGCCCCAAGCCGCTGCGCGAAATGCGCCACAGCCACGGCATTCACTGTGACGCTGCGGAGACTGCACAACCGCGTGAAGACCATGCTTCCGATCCTAACAGCAGCCCCAACAGCAGGAGTTGTGCTTCTCTTGCTACTGCCAGTAGCAGTGATGATCACGTAATGGACGATCTACGCCTCTATACGGCCAAGCTGGCGGATTTCGGCATCTCAGTCAGGCTGCGCCCCGATCAAGAAGCCGTCGGGTACGGCGGAAGCTTCCCGTACGAAGCTCCAGAGATGATTGCTGGAGAGCCGTACGATTGTAGCGCGGATATCTGGAGCCTCGGGGTTACTCTCTACGCCATGCTGTCCGGGTGCTGGCCTTCGTTTGATGGTGGGGTGCGGCGATTGGATGAGAGCAGGGACTGGGAAGATTCCTGCTGGTGGTTTGTGTCGCAGCATGCGAAGAATCTCGTCCGTCGGATGCTGTCGGTGGATCCTGCGATGCGACCGACGGCTGAGGAGATTTTGAGCGATCCCTGGGTGAAGGGGCAAGGCGGAGAGATCGTGCGGTATAAGCAGACTCCATTTCTGCAACAAGTGGCTCTGATGAGCAAAGGGCGGTTTACTAAGGCGAGAGGTCGCCGCAATATGACCGTGAGGATGCAAAGAGGAGATGCAAACAGGGGAGAGTGTGGGGCTGTTGCTGCCGGTGCAGCTGAGAGCAGCAGCACAGCATCTACAGGGGTGATGACAGTTGAAACACTGCATTCATCCCCTTCGCAGACATCTATATCTTCATCGATTATCTCCCCATCCTCCGTTCCTGGTTTCCATGGCCCATACAGCTGCCAGCAGCATGGCTTCAGGGATTAACGATACTGACAAGAGGAGAGTGTACAGTCCAGTCAGAAGCACAGGGTAGCAAGTAAATGGTGCCAAATGGCTCCAAGTGGCAATAGCCACAGTGACCTCGGGGCTCACTGAATAGTTTTTACATGACATAGCAAAACATAGCGTGCAAAAGCATTGAATATCTACACTCAGATTAAATGAAGAGCCATGAAGCACAGCACCAGCAGTACAGTTCAACAAAACCATCAATAATTAGAAGTGCTTCTCTGGGTCAGCAGCGGCAGCCATACCCCATGATTCCACCGCTGTTTCAAAGAGGGCGCTGCTACAGCCATGGAGCAGCAGAGGTCAACAACACCAATATGTTTCCACCATCCTAACAGCAGGCAACAACAGCCCCACTAGATGTCATACACCTGCACGGACGCCAGCAGCTCATCCTGCTCCTTTACAGCTGGCGTCGCAACCGCCTCAGAGCGACAGAGCTCAACAACAATGCCTTGTCACCCTAGCAGCACAACCCCTCTCCCCTCCTCCCTCCTCCCCTTCCCCCCCTTCCCCCCCTAAATGTCATACACCTGCACGGATGCCAGCAGCTCGTCCTGTTCTTTCACTGCTGGTGCTGCTACAGCCACGGAGCGACACAGCTTGACCTTAATGCCTGGCCCCCCACTCCTCCCCCTCCTCCCCCCCCCCCTCCCCCCCCCTCCGCTCTCCTAAATGTCATACACCTGCACAGATGCCAGCAGCTCGTCCTGCTCCTTCACAGCAGGCGCTGCCACAGCCACAGAGCGACAGGTGTTGACATCAATGTGTTGTCATTCTAAAACCACACACACACCCCTCTAGATGTCATACACCTGCACGGACGCCAGCAGCTCGTCCTGCTCCTTCACAGCCGGCGCTGCCACCGCCACAGAGCGACAGAGCTTGACAGCGTCGGCGGGAGTGACGAAGAGCCACTGCTCGCCCATCTCTGCCAGGAAGTTGGCGTCCCACAGCTTGCGCAGCACGTCCCTTGACGCACTGGCCAGGCAAAGCTGCATAGGGGTTAAAAGGGGTGGGAAGGGGTGGGAGGGGTTTTAAGGGGTTGACAAAGAGCCACTGCTCGCCCATCTCTGCCAGGAAGTTGGCGTCCCACAGCTTGCGCAGCACGTCCCTTGATGCACTGGCCAGGCAAAGCTGCAGGAGGAAGGGAGGGAACGGGGACCGGGGGGGGGGCGGGGGTTGGGTTGAAGAGAGTGGTTTGAAGCGGGTGACAAAGAGCCACTTCTCGCCCATCTCCGCCAGAAAGATTGTGTCCCACAGCTTGCACTGCACATCCGACCACAGCCCAGGCCTCCTCTGACAGGTCTCGGTGCCATTCCTCCAGCCCACCACTTTCATGGCTGCCAATGTTCACCATCACGCCATCACCTTCGCCCCTTACTCCTACCCTTCAGCCCGTGAGTGCCTGAATGCTCTTCTCAGACACGTCTCGGCGCAGCTCCTCGAGCTACGATGCCTGATTGCGATGTGCTGAGCTGACCACAGCACGCTACAAGGCACATTGGTACTACTAACCTGTTAACCCTCGACCTTGGCCCTTTCAACCCGCCCGTCAGTACCTGAATGCTCTTCTCAGACAGGTCTCGGTGCAGCTCCTTCAGTCCCTCACGCTTCAAGGCACAGCCCTTACATGTTATCCCTTACCCTTGGGCCATTCACCAGCCACTACCTGAATGCTCTTCTCAGAGAGGTCTCGGTGCAGCTCCTTCAACCCGTCAATGCCCGACAAGGTCCTTCCCTTGCTCACCAGATGGCGCTACAGCATGTGACCCTCTACCCCTAACTCGTCAGTACCTGAATGCTCTTCTCAGAGAGGTCTCGTTGCAGCTCCTTCAGCCCGTCGATGCCTGATGGGATATCTGAGAGGGTACGGACTCCAGTGCTCACCACATGACAGACACTACAGCATGTGACTCTCTACCCTCAACCCGTCAGTCAGTACCTGAATGCTCTTCTCAGACAGGTCGCGGTGCAGCTCCTTCAACCCATCAATGCCTGATGGGCTGACCACATCACACTACAAGACAAATAACCCGTTTTCCCCTAGTCTTAACACTGCAGCCATCACTACCTGAATGCTCTTCTCAGACAGGTCGCGGTGAAGCTCCTTCAACCCATCGATTCCCGACACATCAATGTCGTGCATTACACTCAGATCCAAGATGCAGTGCTGCGGGGTGGGGAGAGGAATGGGAAGGGAGGAAGGAGAGAGATGCAACGAGCAACACTCAAGCAGTGCTGTGTGGAGTGGGGAGGAGGGGAGTGAGCTGCAACGAGCAACACTCAAGCACTGCTGTGTGGGGGGGGAGGAGGGGAGTGAGCTGCAATACGCCTGTTGTGCATCACGATCGAATCGAGAATGCAGTGCTGCGGAGTGGGGAGGCGGAGTGAGAGGGGAGGAAGGGGAGAAAGGAGAGGGAACAAACGGAACAATGGAACGGGCCAAATGTCAGTGTCGTTCATGAATGCAGTGGCGCAAGGCAGGAATGCAATGCTGTGGGGTGTGGAGGAGGAAGAGAATGCAAGGAGAGATCAGCCCCAAGAAAGTACAGGCGGGCTCCCCCAATACCCCCACCCAACCCCCCATCCTCAGCAACCATTCCCCCAACCAAAACCCTTGATAGCAGCACATTCATTAGACTCACTCACCCGCACGGGTTGCTGGTACCCCCTCGCATAAGCATCACACAGCTTCTTGATTCGCTGCCGGCAGAAATTCGCCGCAGGGAAGTAGAGCGGGCTCTCGATCCTCAGCAATGCTCCATCCTCAGTAACCCATCCCCAACAAAGCCCCTCATCAGCAGAACAACCAGAGGACTCACCCGCACGGGTTGCTGGTATCCCCTCGCGTATGCATCACACAGCTTCTTGATTCGCTGCCGACAGAAATTCGCAGCCGGGAAGTACAGCGGGCTCTCGATCCTCAGCATCACGATGCCCTCGCACAGCAACCATTCCCCAACCCCCTCATTAGCAACACAGTCACCCAACTCACCCGCACGGGTTGCTGGTACCCTCTCGCGTACGCGTCGCACAGCTTCTTAATGCGCTGCCGGCAGAAATTCGCAGCCGGGAAGTACAGCGGGGTCTCTACCTCCCCAACCCTCCATCCTCAGTAACCCATCCCCAAGCCCCCCTATAGCAGCCTCGACAGCAGCACAATTGCCAGACTCACCCGCACGGGTTGCTGGTATCCCCTCGCGTACGCGTCGCACAGCTTCTTGATGCGCTGCCGGCAGAAATTCGCCGCAGGGAAGTAGAGCGGGCTCTCGATCCTGAGCATCACAATGCCCTCGCATAGCGTGCTGTTGGGGAACTGTAGCACGCTCACGGCTGTAGCGGCGCCGCCCGGGAGCAGGCCCAGCAGGCGGATGTGCGGGCGGACGATGCGGAGGAGCAGCTTGAGGACGGAGAGCACGGAGGCGACTAGCAGGCCGATCTCGGGCGAGCCGAAGATGATTCCGAGGAAGCAGCCGAGCATGACCATGAAGTCTAGTTTGTCCACCCTCCAGATCTGAAACGCTGCCTTGAAGTCGAGCTGGGGATGGGGGAAGGGGCGTGACAGGTGATGGACGGGAAGGGATAAGGGAGGAAGGGAAGCAGGGAAGCAGGGAAGCAGGGAATGAGGGAATGAGAGGAGGTAGAGCACGGAGGCGACTAGCAGGCCGATCTCGGGCGAGCCGAAGATGATTCCGAGGAAGCAGTCCGAGCATGACCATGAAGTCTAGTTTGTCCACCCTCCAGATCTGAAACGCTGCCTTGAAGTCGAGCTGGGGATGGGGGAAGGGGCGTGACAGGTGATGGACGGGAAGGGATAAGGGAGGAAGGGAAGCAGGGAAGCAGGGAAGCAGGGAATGAGGGAATGAGAGGAGGTAGAGCACGGAGGCGACTAGCAGGCCGATCTCGGGCGAGCCGAAGATGATTCCGAGGAAGCAGCCGAGCATGACTATGAAGTCTAGTTTGTCCACTCGCCAGATCATGAACGCTGCCTTGAAGTCGAGCTGGGGATGGGGGAAGGGGTGTGACGGGTGACGGATGGGAGGGGATAAGGGAGGAAACGAAGCAGGGAAGCAGGGAATGAGAGGACAGAAAGGTCAGAGGAGGTGATGAGCAGGCCGATCTCGGGCGAGCCAAAGATGATCCCAAGGAAGCAGCCAAGCATGACCATGAAGTCCAGCTTGTCTACTCGCCATATCATGAACGCTGCCTTGAAGTCGAGCTGGGGATGGGGGGGAGGGGAGGGGGGAGATGAAGGGGAAGAGTGTAGGAAGCAACCGAGCATGACCATGAAGTCGAGCTTGTCTACTCGCCATATCATAATCGCTGCTTTGAGATCCAGATGGGGAGGGTGGGGGAGGGAGGAGGGATGACGGATGGGAGGGAATAGGGGATGAAGGGAAGCAAGTGAGCTTGATTACGACATTGGTGGAGGGGAAATGACGGGGGGGACGGCGAGGGAGCAAGGCGATAGGGGGGAATAGATGATGGTGTGAGCAAGTGGAAGCAGCTCATCTAGGGACAAGCTGAGTTATATGGGTCTTGATTTTTTTTTTTTTTTTCAAAGAAGTTATGGGGAAGGAGCAGCGATAAATGGGAAAGAGGTGAGAGGAGCAAGTAGATGGAGGAGGGAAGATGAAGAATCCGGAAGGAGGGGCGATGGTGAGGAGCAAGAAGAGAATTAGAGAGGAGGGCGATAGGGAGGAGGGCGGTACCAGGTTTAGCACTGAGTTGGCGATGATAGCTCCCACCACACACTGCAGAAGGAGAGAGAGAGAGAGAGGGGAGGGAGGGAAAGGGAAAGGAGGGAAGGAAGGGGGAAAATGGGGGAGGGAAAGGGGACAGGGAGAGGGAGTGACGGGGAGAGAGGGGGATGGGGGGGGGGGTGATAGGGAGAGAAGGGGATGGGGAGAAGGGTGAGTGAGACAGCGCACATGGGATACAGGGAATTGGAAGGCAGAAGAAGCGGGGGAAAGCAAGGGTATATAGCAGGCACGTATTGGAAGGGGTTGAGAGGGCAATTCACATACAGCAGGGCGGGGACCTATGGGGAGGGGGTGGAAGAGCATACAGCAGGCACGTATTGAGAGGGGGTGAGAGGGCTTACAGCGGGCACGTATTGGGAGGAGGTGAGAAGGCAATGGGCATACAGCGGGCACGCATGGTATGGGGAGGGGGTGAGTGAGAGGGCTTACAGCGGGCACGTATTTGAAGGCGGGGGCAGCTGCAAGGATAACGACGAGCATGGTGAGCGAGAGGATAATTTGCGTCAGTGCTGTGTGTGCCCCTGCCAGGATGTTCACTGCTGTGCGGGAGAAGGAGCCTGGTGGAAGGAAGAGGGGAGGAAGGGAGGGAAGGGCATGCAGGAAGACAGCAGCAAGGAGCACAAGGAGCATGGTGAGCGAGAGGATGATCTGCGTCAGTGCTGTGTGCGCCCCTGCCAGGATGTTCACTGCTGTGCGGGAGGAGCCTGGTAGAAGCGGAAGGGCAGGAAGGGGGTCGGGGGGGAGGGGGGGTTTGGTTGCGAGGATGCAAGGAGGCAGGGACGGCAACAAGATAGGCGCTGCAGGAGCTGCAAGACTGGTGGCGCTTAAGTGAGGCGTTACAGGACTAGCGGGCCGCACTGGTGGGGCGCGCTGGTGGGGCGCACTGGTGGGGCGCACTGGTGGGGCGCACTGGCGGGGCGCTCACATTTGGTGCCCCTGTGCAGTGCACATGCGTGGTGCTCTCCTCTCCCCTCTCTCCTCTCCTCTCCAGCTCACGTGGTGCAGCAGCAGCTATGTTGCAAAATACGCGTATGGCGTACGGAACGCGTACGAACTATACGGTATCGTACATACGCGATACGCAAATTTCCAGCGTACAAAAAACCTCGAAATACGGTGCGTCGGGCAGGTTGAAATTTTCTAGGGCAGGGAAAAAACATTTCAGTTGAGGTAGAATGCTTATAGGGAAAGAACTTCAGCAATACTTGATGCGGATAACTCCCGTGGGGTTTTCGCCAGTACGAAATTGTTGGCTAGAATCGTCCTAATATTGCGGTTGCTAAAATCTGCAAGTGACGCGACGCCGCTGCTAGCAATAGCAGTAAACTTGGCGTGAGCTTCGCTGTTGTACTCACGCCGACTGGCGAGCAGCTTGTAAGGGAAGGTTGGGTTTGGGAGGTGGTGTGAGGTGATGTGCGGTGGAGGGGAGGGGAGGGGGGCATTCGAGTTTCGAATCTCAAAATTAGGTTTCACAGAATTGCAGATCGCGGAATCAGCGGCAACAGATTTTTTTCTCTTTTTTTTTTTCGCCTGCCCGGATTTACGTATCGCGTATTTGTCCCCGTTTCACGTTTTCACGTTTATACGTGAACGCATATACGTGAAACGTAAAATTTCCTAAGCGTATAGTGCAACATAGAGCAGCAGCGGTCTAGGGATCTCAGACCAAGCCTGCACACACCGTTCTTAGACTAAGCATGCTCACCGCTTGTCACCGCATTGGATCACAGCGTACCTGTGGCGACGTAGCATGAGGTGAAGGAGCCTGAGAGGTTCATTGCTCCGTAGGCTATGAGCTGCGGGCGAGGAGGTGAAGGGGGGGAGGGGAGGTGAACGGTGGAGAGGAGGTGAGGGGTTGAGTTGAGAGGAGGTGAGGGGTCGAGAGGAACAGATGCAAAGGAATAGAATGCATGCTAGAGAAAAGGTGAGGGAGGGAGCACGGGACAAGAATGCAAAGAGAGGAGACTGATGGATACCATGCGTGTGGTTGAGGAATGGTTGAGAATGTGAGTGGCTATGAGGGAGAGCGAGGATGAAAGACGAGTGGAATGGAGAATATGGAGGAGTGGAGTATGCATTGAATTGTTATCATCAATGCAATAACTAGCTCACCTCTTTGTTACCATCAATGTGGTAACCATACATGCCCGCAAATGTACGGCCGATGCCAATTGATTCCTGGATGAAACAAACAAAGAAACAAGCAAACAAAGAAAGAAAGAAACAAACAAACAAATAAACAAACAAAACACAAACACACAGGAAAAGAAAAACAGAAACAAAAAAGGGAGATTTGAAAAAAGGAAGCTGCAAGGAAAAGCGAAAACAGGGGCCAGGCAGACAGATGTGCATTCTGAGACTTTGACAATATTCCAACAACTCAAACTGTGGAAGCAGCAAGGCGTACAGAAACACAGAGGGCGGGCAGGGAGACAGACAGATATAGTACTACAGCCAAGAGCCCCTGATGGGACCAAAGCGATGTGTTTGCGACACACAAAAGCAGGGCAGGGCGGAGTGCGGGACGTGGGGGAAGGGATGGCGGGATAGTTTGGGGAGGGGGTTGGGGAGTTGGAGGGGGAGAGGAAAGGGGACAAGAGGAGAGGGTGGGAGGAGCAGGGTAGAAGAGGGTTGCAGGGGAGTTTTGAGGCGCCCCAGAAAGGGGTTTGCAGGTGAGGGTGTTAGTTACTGACAGCGAGGGAGACGAGGGCAGCATAAAGCGCGATGAGTGCGACCTCATCGGTGTACTCGTTGTGCAGATCAATGTCCCACACCGATGACATGCCCCCCATGCCCGTCTTTATGCTGCCCACCTGCATGCAGGCACGGGGGGGAACCGATGAGGGGGATGGGGGAAGAGGGAAGAGGGGAGGGAGGGGAGAGGAGAGGAGGGCAATTCGTGCAGCTTCATCAGTGTACTCGTTGTGCAGATCAATGTCCCACACCGATGACATGCCCCCCATGCCCGTCTTTATGCTGCCCACCTGCATGCAGGCACGGGGGGAACCGATGAGGGGGATGGGGGAAGAGGGAAGAGGGGAGGGAGGGGAGAGGAGAGGAGGGCAATTCGTGCAGCTTCATCAGTGTACTCGTTGTGCAGATCAATGTCCCACACCGATGACATGCCCCCCATGCCCGTCTTTATGCTGCCCACCTGCATGCAGGCAGGCACGGGGGGAACCGATGAGGGGGATGGGGGAAGAGGGAAGAGGGGAGGGAGGGGAGAGGAGAGGAGGGCAATTCGTGCAGCTTCATCAGTGTACTCGTTGTGCAGATCAATGTCCCACACCGATGACATGCCCCCCATGCCCGTCTTTATGCTGCCCACCTGCATGCAGGCACGGGGGGGAACCGATGAGGGGGATGGGGGAAGAGGGAAGAGGGGAGGGAGGGGAGAGGAGAGGAGGGCAATTCGTGCAGCTTCATCAGTGTACTCGTTGTGCAGATCAATGTCCCACACCGATGACATGCCCCCCATGCCCGTCTTTATGCTGCCCACCTGCATGCAGGCACGGGGGGGAACCGATGAGGGGAATGGGGGAAGAGGGAAGAGGGGAGGGAGGGGAGAGGAGAGGAGGGCAATTCGTGCAGCTTCATCAGTGTACTCGTTGTGCAGATCAATGTCCCACACCGATGACATGCCCCCCATGCCCGTCTTTATGCTGCCCACCTGCATGCAGGCACGGGGGGGAACCGATGAGGGGGATGGGGGAAGAGGGAAGAGGGGAGGGAGGGGAGAGGAGAGGAGGGCAATTCGTGCAGCTTCATCAGTGTACTCGTTGTGCAGATCAATGTCCCACACCGATGACATGCCCCCCATGCCCGTCTTTATGCTGCCCACCTGAAAGGACAGGGTTGAGGAAGTGGTATGAGACAGTTGGAATTATTATGTATCTGCGCGCACGCGCGCGTGCGAGCGTGTGTGCAGTTGTGTGTGGTTGGGTGGATGCGTGTGCAGGCACGTGCGTGTCTGTGCGCGCGCACACACACACACACACGCACACACACGCACACACACACACACACACACAGACACACACACACACACACACACACGCGCGCGCGCGCGCGCACGCACGCATACAGAAGCCCAGCAGATACAGCACAGCAGGAGCCCTCCCCCAAGCACCACCAAGCAACCCCTCCCCACAGCGCCGCCTCAAGCCCCTCGCTAAAGCCATGGTGTGACATGACACCACAGCTGTTGAGACGCCTCAACAGCACCGCCTCAAGCGCGCACTCACCGTGGCTACACCCTTGTTGTACATGCCGGTGGTGCCCACGATGATAGTGGAGATGACTATAGAGGAGATGGGCCCCAGTGCATTGGCGTAGAACAGGGTCTTGCTCTTTGGGTAGAACTTCGACTGGTGGGCGGCATTGCATGGCATGGCATGGCATGGCATGGCATTGCATGGCATGGCATGGCATGGCATGGCATGGCATGGCATGGCATGGCATGGCATGGCATGGCATGGCATGGCATGGCATGGCATGGCATGGCATGGCGTGGCATGGCGTGGCGTGGCGTGGCGTGGCGTGGCGTGGCATGGCATGGCATGGCATGGCATGGAATGGCATGGCATGGCATGGCGTGCGATGATGTGGCGTGGGCGTGGCATGGTGTAGGATGGTATGGCATGGCGTGGCATAGCATGGTGCGGGAAGGTGTGGGATGGCATGGTGTGGCATGGGAGGAATAGGAATGGAAGGATTGGTTGTTGCTCTTTGGCTACACGTTTGGCTGCTGGGATGGTATAGAATTGGATGCTCATGCATTAAGAGATATGTTGTAGCAGATATTGATGTGGCATGGGAAACTGCGGCATGGGAAATAGATATTAATGGTATTCATCGAACGGTGCCATGCAGATAAGTGCACAGCTCTTCCACAGCATGCTTGGCGCTTCCTTCCTGGCACAGGTACATTCGCACATTCGCACATTCTTGCCACGCCAAGTCACAGCACAGGCCACGCTGGATCGGCGTGAAAAAGGGGGCCCGGTTTCCTCCTGGTTTCACTTATAAGCCCCCCTTCCCCCCCCAGAAAAAAGAAAAGAAAAGAAAAAGAAAACTACAGGCCACACGGTTCAGGCTTTCAGTGGGATGTCGTGTGATAGGGTGGGATGGGATGGGATGGGGCTATAAGAGGTGGAGGGCATGTGACTCACGAGAATGCGGATGATGGTGAGGGCGACAAAGAAGGAGAAGCCGAGGGCAAAAGCACGCCATTGGAACTGCACAACACACACGTGGGATGAGCACACGGGGGATGGGCGGACAGAGAAGGATCGATGCATTCCGAAAGGACGCACGTAAGGGGCCAGATAGAGAAGGGATGGCCAGGGAGCAGCACAAAGCACCCAGCAGCACCGCACAGCACCCACCTCGTTGGAGTACTCGGCAACAGCCTGGAAGATGCTGACAATGCTGGTGCTGAGCGTGAAGTCCTTGTACCCCAGAATGGGCTTCAGCTGCTGCAGTGCGATGGTGAGGGAGCACCCTGCCAGGAACCCAGCGATGGTGGGCTGGCTCAGTAGATCCACCAGGAAGCCCATTCTGTGGGGGAGAGAAGGGAGGGCGGAGGGAGGGCAAGGAGGGTGAGAGGGAAAGCCTTTCGGTGAAGAGGAGAGGGAGACTGGGTGCGAATGCCAGGTGGTGGCGATATGGATAAGGTATATGGCTCTGTGTGTCTCACCTGAGCACCCCCATCTCCTACCTCTCCCAACTCCCATCTACCACCTGCACTGCGCATCCCCATGTCCCACCTGAGGAGAATAGCCAGGGGTGATTTTTGTTTGACGACTCAGGGGTGATTTTTGTAGTCGACTCAGGGGTGATTTTTGTAGTCGACTCAGGGGTGATTTTTGCAGTCGACTCAGGGGTGATTTTTGTAGTCGACTCGGGTGATTTCCCCATTTACCACCCGCACTGCGCATCCCCTTTCAACCACCTGAGGAGCCCACCTGCGCGAACCACTCCCACCTTTCCCATTTCCCATTCCATGCCTCAATTCCCCATTTCCCATGTCCCACCCTCCAATTTCCCACCTGCGCATCCCCAACCCCCACTTATCTACCCCCTGTGCCACACCTGAGCAGCCCCATGGCGAGTTGGAAGAGGCCGCAGAGGAAGGTGGTGGTGGTGAGCAGCTCAACACCCCGCATCCCCCCTCCTGCCCCGCCCATCTCCCACCTGCCTACCCCCCCCCCCTGTGCGTGCCCCCCCACCTGTCCATCCCCCCCGTTTCGCGCACCTGAGGAGCCCCATGGCGAGTTGGAAGTGGCTGCAGAGGAAGGTGGTGGTGGTGAGCAGCGAGTTGTACAGGTCGGGCTCCTTACTCGGGTCCACCTGCGCGCTCAGCTGCTCGCCCAGCAGCTGCGACACCACTGACACCGGCCCGATCACCATGTGCTCCCCTCCCATCCATCCACCCACCTCCCTCCCATGTCCCACCCAGAAACACCCCTCCCCTCCTTCCCCTCCTTCCCCTTCCCCCCGTCCCCCCCATTTCCCACCCGCCCACACCCATTTCCCCCTTTCCTTTCCCCGTTTCCCAGTTCCCATTTCCCATCTGTGCGCTCCCATGTCCCATGGCCCACCTGAGGAGCCCCATGGCGAGTTGGAAGAGGCCGCAGAGGAAGGTGGTGGTGGTGAGCAGCGAGTTGTACAGGTCGGGCTCCTTACTCGGGTCCACCTGCGCGCTCAGCTGCTCGCCCAGCAGCTGCGACACCACCGACACCGGCCCGATCACCATGTGCTTTGATGATCCCAGGATTGCGTACATCAACGGCGGCAGGAAGCTCGTGTCTGGGCGGGGAGAAAGAAAGAGGTGGGAGCGGTTGGGAGCGGTGGAAGGGGGTTATTGAGCAGCTGTGACACCACCGACACCGGCCCGATCACCATGTGCTTGGACGACCCCAGGATCGCGTACATCAACGGTGGCAGGAAACTCGTGTCTGACGGGGGAGACGAGGGAGGGGAGAGCGGTTGGGAGCGGTGGAAGGGGGTTATTGAGCAGGTGTGACACCACCGACACCGGCCCTATCACCATGTGCTTGGATGAGCCCAGGATTGCGTACATCAACGGCGGCAGGAAACTTGAGTCTGGAGCAAGGTGGAAAAAAACGATTGCGGAAAAAAACGATTGAAAAAAACGATTGTATTTTACGACAGGTTTTGGGAAAAAAACGACGTTTTTTTGTTAGACAAAAAAAACAAAACAAAAAAAAAAAAACAATATCAGAACAAAACAAAACAAATAAAAACAATCACCATCCACACATACAACAAGCATGTGTACGAGAACAATTATATTGGAAATATAGTTTATTAATGAAACCGAACATATAGAATAGGAGTGTATCAAGTGAACTTATTAAATAAAAATCGATATCATCTGCACAAAGAGAAAATGTGAGCGACTGGATGAAAAATCTGGCATGAAATCCTTTTTTTTCATGCTTTTGTAGGTTTGGTAAACCAGCACAGTTAAAAACATGTTAATTACAAAGTAAAGGTAAGCATAAAAAGTGATTCGAAAAAAACGATTGAAAAAAACGATCGTTTTTTTTCACCCAATTTTTTTTTTTGGCCTAACCGTTTTTTTTCGTTTTATACGATGGTATGGTACGATATCGAAAAAAACGGTCAAAATTTGAAAAAAACGTCGTTTTTTTGCACCTTGGTCTGGAGGGGGAGACGAGGGAGGTGGGAGCGGTTGGGAGCGGTGGAAGGGGGTTATTGAGCAGCTGTGACACCACCGACACTGGCCCGATCACCATGTGCTCTGATGATGAGTCTAGGATCGCGTACATCAACGGCGGCAGGAAACTAGGGTCTGGAAGGGAAGATGAGGGGGTCCAGAGGGGTTGAGGGCGGTGGATAGGGGTGCTTGAGGTGCTGAAAGGGCAACATTGACACCGGCCCTATCACCCTGTGCTTGGAGGAGCTCAGCACCGCGTACATCAGCGGCGGCAGGAAGCTTGTGTTTGCACGGGAAGAGCGGTTGAGAGAGGTGGAAGGGACTTGGGAGGGAAGCAAGAGCGGTGAACACGGGGAGAGGGCGGCTGGGGAACTAGGGAGGTGAACGGGTTAAGAACAGTGGACGGGGGGTGGGGAAGGAGGTGACAACATGGGCAGCAAGGCAAGGGTCGTTTGCGAGACCAATGCAAGTGAAACAAGGTGATTTACGGCGATGAGATGAGGGGAAGGAGGTGACGGGACAAAGAGGACGGCGGTACAAGAAGCACGTGTCACAGACGCGTTACAACAGGAGATGAGGGTGGCTTATTCTGAGAGCCATCAAGCAGGCTTTAGGCAATCTAGCGTGCATGTGTTGACACGGGAAGCAAATCAACGGTGGCTCATTCTGAAAGTTCTCGAAATGGCTCATGGGAAGCGATAGAAAGGGCGAAGGGTGAGAGGCGAGCACGGCTTACAGAGAGCGAACTCCTTGGGCGCGTTGGCATACTTGGAATACGACACGTCCTGGCGAGTGGCGTTGCGGAAGAGAAAGGGGAAACGCAGCGAGGAGAGGGGGAAGCGGGAAAGGGAGGGCGAGAAGATGCGGAGTGGGAGCAAAACAAAGTGAAAGGAGTTGGCATGACGACATGGGTAGGTCAAACTCCGTGGGATGAAGTGACACTTCAAGGTTGCTTGAGGTGCTGTATGAACTGATTCTCTCTTGAAAGAACGTGCTGCTTTATGATTGAAAACACTTAAGAGAACGTGATTATATGAACAGAAGATTGAGAGATTAAGCTTGGCGTTGACCCTTCCTGCGGCTAACATTGCGTCGACAACACAGCCCGTGGTCAACATCACGTGAAGGTCTCACCTGCGGCACGGACATGATGGCGATGGAGAGCCCTCCGATGATGTCGCCGAGCAGATAGAACCGTAGATCGTATTTCGGCAGCCATGACAGAATCGGAAACACTCCCACTAGGAATATCCAAATCTTCTCCTTCCACGTCTTATCGCGAAACTGCTGTACCGGGTCGGCTTCCGGGAACAGCACCCATTTGAGCGGCATCAGCGACTCGGAGAGCTCGTCTCGTAGAGTCACATCAGGCATTGGCACATTCATGCCTTCCACGTCAGCAGGCTCGGGTTCTACCCGAGCCGGAAGGCCTTGAAAGTCTGACATCGGACCGCCTTGCCATTCCACGTCTTCCCCTTGCCATCCCCCGCCTCCGCCTCCGCCTCCGCCTCCCCCTCCGCGGTCGCTCCCCGCTTCCCCATCAGCGACTGGGTAGCTCCCAGAATTTGGATTGGCTTCAGGATTGTCGTCTTCTGGCTTCAGTGGTATCGGAAAATCAAATCCTAAATTGTCGTCCATGGGTGGAATTTGAGTGAATATTTAGACTGATGCTGTCAAGGAGCAACTGAACGAGATTATTTCGCGATGTCCTTCTGCACGTTAGACACTGGCTGCTGTTGGCACGAGAAGGGCACGCCAACTCGAGGACGAGAACAATGACACAAGCGATCAAAGTTGACTAGACACACGAATGAGAGATGCAGTAGGCAGTGGTTGGCGCGTCAATAAAATAGGGAAAAAAAGCATGTAAAGAAATTTATTGCATTGAGGTAGGTAGAAGGCGAAACTAAACTTGAATAATGCGGGCCCTGTAGGACTGACCGCCCAACAATGGCGGCGGTGGTTGGGGATGGAGGGAAAACAATCCCAAGACGGTGTTCCTCCTCACTGCAGGGAGGGAGGGAGCGAGGGGGACAATTTCTAGGGAAGGTGACGAGGGGCTTGTTGAAGGGCGGGCAGGTACCCAAGGCGTTTTCTAAGTGAGTATATCGCCACGCAGCTAGCAATCTCGATCCCACCAGACGGCAGTGTGCTCAAATATTCTTCGTGTACCGTTTTGTACAGTCCATAAGTTGCCCACGAAAAAAAATCTTATGCCCGTAACGTTGCTAACCTATGGGTTCCACGTTGGTGCATGTGCTTCTTTGGTGAGGAGGCACAGTTGTATGGGCGGCGATTGTTTGCGAAAACCTCGGCGATACGCAGCTGGCTCGGCCAGCGAAGCGAACAGTTACCTGAACCAAGAAGCCCAACCAATCACGAAGGGTTTAGGGTTTAGGTGCCCAACTGCACCTCCTCCAGCCCCGCTTTGATATTTCAGTTACCGCGTTGACAAACAGCAACTACAAACGCACTGTTTTTCTTAACATGGTTCATGTCTCGCTGGCCTTTGCTGACGAGGACAGCCAACCGACAAAGGGGACCCGCCCCCGCTTCTCCCCCACCCAGCAAGTTGGGTAGAGTTACCAAATATTGACTCGTGCTCGATACAGTGTTGCACGGTGGTACATCCAACTGTACTGTACAAAACAAGCTTACATATTCCATCAGAAGAAGCCGACTCATCTCCATTCATGAGCCTACTGTCACCTTATCAGCTCCTACAATGTATGAGAACAATCCTTTGGCGTTTCCCCTCACGGCACTCCACGCAGCTCCCAGTCGCCTCTGGTTGTTCCTTTGCCATGCCGCATTCACCTTATCATTTTCCGCCATGAAGCCAGTGTCCCTCACATGTTCCACACGTGTGGCTTGGTCAAAATGGGAATCACTACCGTCCTCACCTATAGCAGGCCCTGTTGCAAGAAATTCGTCCTTATCTTCCCCAACACCCGAAGCAGGAGTAGCTGCAGTTGCAAACGCAGCAGGAAGTGTGTCATCATCACCTGTACCCCCTCCAGAACCAGAACTCAGATATGCAGCGCTCGGCGTCCCTTGCTTGCACGGAATCACTTGCTCAGATCCCTGCTGCTGCCCTCCCCTCTCCTTGCCTTGCTGGTGATCCATTGTGTGTGCACCACCACTGCTGCTGCTACCACCACTGCTGCCCCTCACCGCTGACTCTTCCCCTGCCCCTCCTTTTCCCCCATCACCTCTCAAGCCCACCTCACCTTTACCCTGCCCTCCACCTGCATGCTGCCGATCACACTCCCCTGCTGCCATCCCTCCCTCTGCCCGCGCACCACCATCACCTTCCTGCTGCTCTTCTGAACCTCCTCCTGAATTGACTCCTGGGCTGTGGTCGCTGAGTGTTTCAGCGGGGTTGCTGGTTTTATGAGCATGGCCAGCAGCAGCTGCAGGGTCGATAGGGCCAGCACAGGCACTGCCAGCACCAGAACTCGTTTTGTAAGGTTCTTCTGGTTGCGCAATGGGGGGTGCCACACCACCAGCAGCAACAGCAGCAGCTGTAGCATCAGCGGCAGTGGCAGCAGCGGCAGGCTTGCTCGTGAAGAAGGCAAAGAAAGACGGAGTTGCTTGCTGGCTGTCACCAGGCGACATTGCTGCATGTGACTGTAACGAAGGGGGCTGCTCCGTGGGGAAGCACGACACTGGAACAGGCACATCGTCCCCATCCTCCTCCCCTGCTTCACCGCCACCCCCCTCACCCCCTCCACCATCCACCCCACCTGCCCTCTCGCCTATCCTTTTCCCACCTGCCATCTCATCCATGCCAGCCGCACCTGCCGTCCTGCTGCTCGCACGGCCACCCCATGCTCCATGCTCCTCTCCTCCCCTTCCCTGCACTACTTCCATCCCCTCTATCTGATCCTTCTCTTGCGCCTGTCGACCCACCTTCTGCCTTGCTCCTTCTGCCTCTCCCCCTCCCTCTCCCTTTTCTCCCTCTCCCTCTTCCCCGCCATCAGCCCCAACCACATCCCCCTCTCGTCTCCGCAGTGCATCCACCTCGGCAGCCAGCTCGCCCGCACGCCTCTCCATCTCCCGCTGCCGCTGCTGCAGCGCCTCGTTTCCCTCCACCAGCTCCGAGTTCAGGTCTATAAGCCGCTCGATCACCTGCTTGCAGGGGGAGAGGGGCATGTGGGGCGGTGGGGGGATGAGGGGGAAGAGGATGGGAGAGGAAGGTGTGGTTGATTCATAAGGCCCCTTAGCAACTACCTGCTGCAGCACCTCATTTCCCTCCACCAGCTCCGAGTTCAGATCGATCAGTCGCTCTATCACCTGCTTGCAGGGGGATGGGAGGAGGGCGGGAGCGGGAGTGGAAAGAGAGGACAGGGGAGGAAAGCGCGGTTGATTCTTAAGGCGCCTCGGTGAGTGCCTGTTACAGCGCCTAGTTGCCCTCCACCAGCTCTGAATTGAAGTCTATCGGCCGCTCTATCACCTGCTTGCAGGGGAAATGAACCGGGAGAGGCGAAATTTACGTGTTGTAGATGCAATGCATGCAAATAGTCTGGATGTATCTGCCAGACCTGCAAGCAAACCATCATCATCATAGCGATCATCATCAAAACCATCACCATCATAACCATCATCACCATTATAACCATCATCACCATCATCATCATCATCATCATCATCATCATCATCATCATCATCATCATCATCATCATCATCATCATCATCATCATCATCATCATCATCATCATCATCATCATCATCATCATCATCATCATCATCATCATCATCATCATCATCATCATCATCATCATCATCATCATCACCACCACCATCGGCACTCCTCACACTCCCTCCCCTTCCCTTCTTCCTCACCTTCCCCTGTCGTTGCAGGTTGACCTTGAGGGCCTCATTCTCTCGCCACACGCCAGCCAGAGCCTTCAAAGCATCCATCCTTATCGCTCCCCCAACAACATCGTCGCCATGTCACAATTCCCAGCACCTTACCTTCCCCTGTCGTTGCAGGTTGACTTCAAGAGCCTCATTCTCTCTCTCCACACGTCAGCAAGTGCCTCAAACACTCTCCCATTTCAATGAACACCATGACAAGAAAATCACAATCCCCATTCACTCACCTTCCCCTGTCATTGCAAGTTGACCTCAAGAGCCTCGTTCTCTCTCCGCAAGCCTGCCAGCGCCTGCAGCGCACTGTCCTTCTCCTTGCGGCACTCCTCACACTCCCTCTCCTTCCATTCCACTCATTCTCACCTTCCCCTGCCTCTGCAAGTTGACCTCAAGAGCCTCGTTCTCTCTCCGCACGCCCGCCAGTGCCTGCAGCGCACTGTCCTTCTCCTTGCGGCACTCCTCACACTGCCGCATCAACGCCTTGGTCACTTCCGCCTGCCATTACATCGCCACCCACACACGAATGCATGCACATGTGTGGTGAGGATGAATGGATGTGATCATTCACGTATGAACAAGCAACAGTGGAAAGGGAACAGCCATGCATCATGTCACACCACACCACACACAAATGATCGCCCCAAACAGACAAGATGACGGAAAAAAACTTCTGCGTTTTGAGGGGAAAAGGTGATGAAGCCATAGCTGGGGACAAGGTGGGATGCAGCCGAGTAGATATCAGGGAAGGGAACACAACAAAAGGATAGGGGTACACACAAATCTTGTGACTTGGCGTCGTCCTACCTTCTCCTTGTCCGCCTGGTCCCTGCTCCGCAGCTCCCTCTGCGCCTGCTTCGTCCCCATGAGCGCCTCATTGCGCTCCCTCACCGCCTCCTGCCAGAACGCGTGTATCTCCCTGCCATGGGGAGGGGGGTGGTGGTGGTAAAGCATGGCGGAAGAATGAGAAACAGTTGGAAGGGAAATGGTTGAAGACCAGGAAGCAGCACGGAGAAGAATGGAGGAGAATGGAGGAGAATGGCATGAGAAAGGCGTGAGATGAGCCACATAGCCAAAGGGTCAGAAGAGTGAATCAGGAGCATGCTCTGTCAGTGTGGGGGGGTCAATGATGAGTAGGGTGGTGTCAGTGTGGTTCGTTCCTTACATGGCTGCTCTGTCCCGGCGTATTATCTCCTGCTGTTGCTGACTGAGCCGCGTCTGCAGATGCACCTCCCTCAGCCTCGCCTGCCTCTCCGCCTGCTCCCTCACTCTCTCCCCCTCCCGCCTTTTCTCTTCCTCCACTCTCTCCGCCACCATTCTTCTCTCCTCCTCTACTCTCTCCCCCTCCCTCCGCCTGTCCTCTTCCGCGCGCTGGACTGCGCCCTCCGCCGCCCTCACTCGATCCTCCCACGCCCGGGCCTGCGCGGGGGAGAGGGGGAAGGGGGGAAAGGGGAAAAGGAGAAGGGGGAACGGGGAGAAGGGACGAGGGAAAAGGCTGAAAGGAAGTCGCTAAATGAAGACTCACTTTTCAAACTTGAAAAAAAACCAATACTAACACCCACTCACCCTACCTCCTCCTTCCCCTCTCCCTTCCCCCCCCACTCCCCCAAAACTTCACCTCCTACTCCCTCCCCTCCCCTTCCGCACCTCCGTGGAGCGCGTCTCCTGCAACTGCGCCAACTGCGCGTCGGCCGCCGCCTTCTCGTTCTCCATCAGGGTTATGTACTGCGCGGCGCGGCTCTGCCACTCCTCCAGCTGCCGCAGCGCCAACACCGCCGCGGACCACTCCCCGTGGCACGCGCACGCGCAACCCGTCGCCGCTGACGCTGGTAGCGGGGCTATCGCGGGATCTCCCATAGGGGATGGCGGAAAAAAGAACGATTTGCGAAACTGGATACGAGAGGTGAATGTGGCCTTAAGAAATATTAGTCCTAGTGCCGGATCGCGTGGAAGTATTTGATAGAATTATAATTGGCTAAACAAGTCACGGATTAGCAATGACTACGAAACTACCCTACTATGAACAGCCTGGTGGAAAAGAGTCGCGTGTAACGGCGAGGAACAGGGTAAGTGAGAGGTTGGTCTGTTTATGGTGGTGTCGTGGTATTGTCGAAAGAACAGCTTACAACGCAGTCCAAAATCGTCTGGTAGGATATGGCGGTTTGGTTTCAGGTAATGATGAATCGCCTCGGTATCGCGAGACGACGAAGACGCTGGTTCAGAATTTCCATCACGTGGTTAGCGAGCCATCGCATGGCTAGCGATAAATGACTGATTAGGAAACGGCGATCGATACGATTGATACGCGTCACAGCTGCAGGCAACAGGTAGAGCAGAACGAGCCACCATAATCTGGAGTACAAGCAAGACTGCTGTGAATTACCATGGCGTGGATGGGAGTGGCCACTGGACTCGATAGATGAAAGCCCAAGGCATTCACACGAGAGAAAGTCCACGCGCTGACACCAGCCGAGCTGACGCGCTCGTTTGACTGGCTGGGTTCGCTGGCAGGCGCGCGGGGAAAAAGCTAGGGGAAAGTCAGCTGCGGAGAACTCGAGGACGCAGGGCTCGAGGGGGGTGTTGCTGCTGATTAGGCTGATCCGCAGATAAACATTCTGTACAGAGATTAGGTGTTTATTGAGTATAATCCTAAAGATGAAAAGCCACTATTACATTGAATGTACAAATATTATCTTAGGTCAGCTTTTGTTCTTCAGCTATTGTCAGCTGAAGAACAAGGGTTCCATGAGACAATCATGTGCCGCAGGTTGGCTCATATGGAACAATATGTACATGTGGGATTCAAAAACGCCTAGTAATGCATCGCACAAATGCGAACCATACCCTCCTAAATCCATCTAGCCTGCAGTTCGGCGTCATACATCCTCTCTAAACAGCTCATCCAGTTACCCTCCCTCCCATAATCCCGCCTCCTCCCCCATGTCTTCAACCATTCACATGCACTTGTAGAGCATTGCCACACACTCCACTCTGCCTCGTCCTCCGCTCACTTATCCACATCCCCATCCACTTCCTCCTCCTCATCATCCCCCCATATCTCCTTGTACTTGAGCACTGCCACACTGTTGGCATGGGGGAAGACACGCACCTTGGCATCCTCCCCCTCCTCCCCCTTCTCCTCTTCCTCCTCGCTTTCCTCCTCTCCTCCACTCCTCCATATCTCCTTGTACTTGTGCACTGCCACACTGTTGGCATGAGGGAAGACACGCACCTTGGCATCCTCCTCTGCCTCTTCCTCCTCCTCATCTTCTTCCTTGTCCTCCGCTTCCTCCACTTCATCTACCTCATCTCTATTTTTATTCCTCTGCCTCGCAACAGCTAAACTGTTTGAATGAGGGAAAACACGAACCCTTATCTCTTCCACTGGCCCTTCCTCCTCCTCCTCCTCCCATTCCTCATCCTCCTCGTCCTCCTCTTCATCCACTTCCTCTTTCCCTCTATTCCTCTGTCTGGCAACAGATAGACTGTTAGAATGTGGGAACACACGAATCCTTGCCACTTCTGCTGTCCCCTCCTCTTCCTCCTCCTCCTCGTCCTCCTCTTCCGCCTCTTTATCTACCTCCTCTCTCCCTATTTTTCTCTGCCTCGCAACAGATAGACTGTTTGAGTGTGGGAACACACGAACCCTTGCCTCTTCCGGTGTCCCCACGTCCCCCTCCTCGTCCTCCTTTTCTTCCTCTTCTTCCTCGTCCTCCTCTTCCTCCACCTCCTCTCCCCCTCTATTCCCAAGTCCAATCCGCTGCCTCGCAACAGCTAGACTGTTAGAATGAGGAAACACACGGACCTTTGGCGTGTCCTCTGCACCCTCTTCCTCTTCTTCTTCATTCTCCACCTCTCCTCCTCCTCCTCCTCCTCCTCATCCTCTTCCCATATCTGCCTGTATCTGTGCACAGCAACGCTATTGGCATGTGGAAACACACGCACCTCCCCCTCTTCCTCGTTCTCCTCCTCATTCGTCTCCTCTGTCTCATCCGCTTCCCCCTTCTGCTCCTCCTCCTCCCATATCTGTCGGTATTTGTGCACAGCAACGCTATTGGCATGTGGAAATACGCGCACCTCTGCTTCTTCCTCTGTCTCCTCAGCCCTATCCTCCCCTGATTCGTCCTCTTTTTTCACCTCCTCTTTCACCCTCTCATTCTCTTCCTCTGACTCCCCCTCTCCCCCAACCTCTTTCCCCTCCTTCCCCCCCTCCTCCTCCCATATCTGTCTGTATCGGTGCACAGCAACGCTATTGGCATGTGGAAACACACGCACTCCCCCTCCCTCCTCTTCCTCCTCTTCCTCCTCTTCCTCCTCCTCATCTTCCTCCTCCCATTCCTCCTCGTCCCTAATCCGGTGACACTTCTGCACAGAAATGCTATCCGAATGAGGGAAAACACGTACCACCACACTCCCCGTCTCCTCCTCTTCCTCCTCCTCCTCATCTTCCTCCTCCTCATCTTCCTTCTCATCATCTTCCTCCTCCTTCTCCTTTTCCTCCTGCTTCCCCTGCGTCTCCCCCCCCGTCCTCCTCTTACACAGCGACACACTGTCCAGGTGAACAAGCCTTCTCACTGCCACCTCCTCTTCCTCCTCCTCGCCCTCCCCTTCCTCTTCCTCCTCCCTCTCCTCCCTCTCCTCCCTCTCCTCCTCCCCCTCTCCCCTCTCTACCTCCTGCACTCCCCCATGCGCCCCTCTATCTCCCCCCATCGCAGCATCCCCACTGGCACTCCCCCCACTGGTCCCCCCACCCTGCCTATGCGCCACACCCCTCCCCGTACAACCCGGTCTGCTCCCCGCCCCTCCTTCTGGACCTGTGTAACGTGCTCCTCCATTCCCCACACCTCTCCCCACACCTCTCCCCTCACCTCTCCCCACACCTCTTCCCCCACCTCCCCTCACACCTCCCCTCACACTCCCCCCCACGCCTCGCCCCAGACCTCCCCTTACAACCCCCACCAACCCTCCCCCTGCACTTCCCCGCATACCTCCCCCACCAGCCCCTCCCACGCCTCTCCCCCTTCCTGCAACAGGCCCTCCATACGCTCTTGCACCCGCTGCTGAGTCGCCACCACGCACCATTGGACGGCCATTCACATTCATATTGCGAGCAGCACAGCTGGTGGTTGGCATATTGCGGCTTGCATGACCGACGGGCGGTGGTGGTACGGCGTCTGTTGTTTGCACATGCGTTCTGGGCAGCATGGGTCTTGTGCGGGTGGCATGTGGCATGCTGACAGGCAAGTGTGCATGCGCATGTGCACGAGATTGCGCGTTGGGAGCATCAAATGGTGTATTGCGGTGTGCATTGAAAGCAAGGGACTGTGCGTTGGTTTGTGCAAGAGTGTGAGCATGTATGTGGGACGTGCTGAGAGCAGCGGCGCGAGCAGAAGTAGTAGCAGCAGTGGCAGCAGGGGCCGGCACGGAGAGGGCAGCGGCAGCAGCGGCATGGAGGAGCGAGTCACGGTGCAGCGAGGACGCATGGGCGGGCACGAAGCGGGCCGTGGGGGGCGGCATGGGGGAGGGGAAGGTGGGGCCGCGGGTGAGGGAGCGGGGGGACGGCTGTGGGGGAAGAGAACGGGGGGAGGGCTGTGGGGGAATAGAACGGGGGGAGGGCTGTGGGGGCAGAGAACGGGGGGAGGGCTGTGGGGGCAGAGAACGGGGGGAGGGCTGTGGGGGAAGAGAACGGGGGGAGGGTTGCGGGGGAAGAGAGCGAGGGGAGGGCTGTGGGGGGAGCGAGCGGGGGGAGGAGAAGGATGAGGATGAGTTGGGTGAGTGTTGGGAGAGGGGGAACCGGGGGGAAGGAGCTGCAGGCAAGGAGGCGGGGGAATGCTGAGAGGAGGGGAGACGGGGCGAGGTGGAGGAGGAGGTTTCGTGCAGGGAAAGAGGTGTGAGGCGGAGGGGAGTGAGAGACTGGCCACGTAACTGACTCCGCTGCAAGGGCTGAGGCACAGACACCCGCTGGGAGTTGGTCAAGTGTGGTGGTGGCTCGGGCAAGGACCGGGGCTGGGCTGCTGGTGCGGCCCGAACCTGCGACCGAGGCTCGGTGTGGGCTTGGATGTGGGAGGCAGCAGAGGAAGAGGAGGCTGTGAGGGAGAGATGGTGTGGTGGGCGGGGCTTGCTGTGCAGTGCACTGGTGAGAGCACCCGCCGTGGCACCCCCCCATGAATGCCATCTGGATGGAGCCCGGCTCACTGGTCCTACTGTGCTCACTGGTCCCCTTGTGCTGCCAGCACCACCAACGCCACCACTCACATGCTCGCTCCCATGCTCGCAACGGTTCATGCTGGCGCTATTCCTGCCGCCTGCAGCACAGACAGCAGCAGCAGCGGGTGTGCGAGTAGGAAGGGACAGCGCGGCTGCAGCAGCAGCAGCAGAAGCCAAGCTGGCAGAAGCAGGAGGAGAAGGCCGAGGAGGAGAGGCGCGGGCACGGGGAGAGGCGGCAGGGAGGGGGAAGGTATGCACGCGGCGGTGCAGAGAGGCGCACTCGCTGCTGCCCCCACGAGCGGTGCTTGTGGGCCCGCCGGTAGAGACAGCAGCAGCAGCATTCATGGGGAGAGCAGTGGGCTTGCTCCCCCCGCGCCCACCAGTGCTAGCGGCCCCGCCAGTACATGCAGCGGTGGCAGCAGCAGCAGCAGCGTTGATGGGGAAAGAGGCGGACTTGCTGCTGCCGCGGCCTGTGCTTACCTGCCCGTCAGTAAATGCAGCGGTTGGAGCAGAATGGAGGGGGAAAGACGCGGACCTGCTTCCACCCAGGCTTGTGCTTGCCGCCCCTCCGCCCTGCCAACGCTGCTCACCACGTGGCGCTGAGGCGGTGCTGTGGGCGCAGGCAGTGCGGGCAGCCATCGCAGCAGCTGGCGCAGCAGCAGCGGCAGTGGCAGCAGCATTGAGAGGTTGAAAGGCGGGGCGTCTATGCTGGGTGAGGTGCTGCTGGCTGACGTGCTGCTGGGTGAGGTGCTGCTGGCTGACGTGCTGCTGGGTGAGGTGCTGAGAGCGTTGGGAGATGGGGCCACCCTCAAGGCCCAGACGAGGGCACGTGGCTCTGTGCTGCAAAGCACGAGTCACAGCTGTGCTCTGCTGACCTGGCATAGCGTTCTGCTGACCTGGCATAGCGTTCTGCTGACCTGGAAGCTGAACCGGCACCATCTGTGGGTCAAGCCTTTGGTGAGAGGCGAGGTGAAGCCTGCCTTGGGGCTCCAGGCGAAATCTCTCCTGTTGCCGCCCGTTGTGATTTGACTGACACATCCTCGTTAGAGTCTGCTGCGTTACAGGCATGCGTGCCTGCGCCAACCACTCCCCGACCTGCCCATCAGTTCGCCTTTCCCTCTGACTGCCGCCCATGCCGCCCGTGCCGCCCGTGCCGCCCAGACCACCACTCATTCCGTTTCGGCCCACCGATCGTTCCTTCCAGCTGCCTCCCCCCATGTCCCTATACAACAGGGCCCTCCCTCGTCCCATCCCTCTCCCCCTCCCCACTGCCGTTGCTGCTTCCCCCACTAATCCCACGCTCACGGTTGCAGCCATCTCCCCCCCATTGTCTCGCACCATACGAATTATTCCGCCCATGCCGCCCATACCTTGGATGCCGCTCACGCCGCCCAGGCCAGCCACTGTAGCCGCCCTGCGGTGCACACCGGCAGCATTCCCTCCCCCACCTGTCCGCCAATCCGCTTCCCCCATGCTCCCCCTGCGCCACGCCGTGCCATCTCCTTCCCCGCCCACCTCTCTCCCCGCGCCCAGCTCCCCCCATCCCATGCCCTCTCGGCCCAACTGCCGCTCCTTCCAGCTGCCTCCACCCACTGCCCTCTCAACAACTCCCCTTCCCCGTCCCCTCCCTTCCCCTCTTCCTCTTCCCATCCCTTCTCCTCTTCCTCTCCCCCTCCCTTCCCCCCTTCCACTTCCCCTCCCATCCGCACTTCCTCTCCCCCGTCCCCTCCCCATCCCCTCCGCGCCCATGCTCCGCCTACACCCCTCCTCCGCTCCATCTCCGCACCGCGACAAGCTGCCTTCACCCTGGACCAATGTTTGGTTGACTCGTGTATCCACAGGTTCCGGGACCCTCGGCGCGCTTATCCCGCTCCGCCTCTCTTGGAAACTCCCCGTCCCGCGCACGTAACCCCCACTTCCGCTCAAACCTCTCCGCCAATCCCCTTCTCCAGCGCTGCTTCCGCTCCCAGCGCAAGCCCCACCCGCAGCTCCCTTCCGCGCAACCTTCCCCCTGCCTAACCCCGGCGCACCAGGCGCAATCCAAGCAGCCTCCCCCGCTTCGCGGGATGCGGGGAACTCCCGCCTCGCGGCCTGCCCCGCTGCTTCCCTGAATCCTGCGCTGCTGCGCGCAACAACCTCCGCTTCCTCCGCGGCCCTTTCCGCCACTCCTCCGCTCTGAGTTCTCCGCACACAGGTTCGCGTTTCCGCGCCTAACCTTTCCGCCGTAATCTTCCGCAGACCCTTCGCGCGAGCGCCAGTCGCTCTAGATGTCTCTCCGCAATTCCCGGCTTCCGCGAGGGCGTCCAGCTCAGTCACGCTCCCAAACGCGTGGCACAACGCGCCTGCAGACACCACATCAGCGCTGTCCGCGCCGCGTGCAGGCGGTGCTGCACGACCAATAGCAGCAGGCCAGTCCGGTGGCATCTGTCTCCGGAAAGTAGGGGATATTAACGAATGAGCAAGATTCGCGGGCTGGAAGGACGACGGCGGCATCACGAGTCGCAGGTGGGGAACTGCAGAGATCTCAGTGATCAACCGAGGATACAAAGGAGCGGTCTCAGCATTACTGGAAGGAACGCAGAAGATTCGTGTCGAGACATGCGACAACCTGCTAGAGTTAGAGGCACTGAGCGACTCGATGCTTTCGCCCGAGGTGCTGTCCCACGAATGCCGGCTCACAGGTAACTGGCCGCGAGGCGCCTGCTGATGACGCTCGGACGGAAGCGTCGACGCGCTGTTAAGAACGCGCGGGTTGCGGCGAGACGCGCGACTTAACTTCGAGCTGTCGAGGCCATCGCTCGTGGACCGAGAATGGACGGCTGGATACGCGTCGCTCGTGTCGCGGAATTCACGAGGTGCAGCGGAAGGGCCCGAGGGGGAGGGTGCGCTAGCGGGGGATTCCAGCGAGTCCGACCCGGGGCGCAGGCGGAGGGGGGAGTCCGGGGACGGCGGCTTCGGTTTAACTTGCTGCGCAGAGGACGGAGCGTGAGATGCGGGAATTGAAAAGTATGGCGGAGGATCGCGAGACGCGATGGCTGTGGAAACGGCGGGGATTTTCTGCGGAATTGCGCCAGGGTTGCTGGTATAGCCACGAGAAGGCGGATCTCGAGCGGAGGATTTGGTACAATCCCGCGACGGATGGGTGAAGTTACTCCGACAGTTTGGCGTTGCTGCGACTGAACACGACCACTGAAACTCGCGCGGTTCTCTTATCCACGAGCTCTCTTCCATCCTGTCCTAACATGGTAGGTAGCTCAGCAAAACAGCTGAAATGCGAAGCTAACCTTCAGAATGGGGAGTCACTGACTGTGCTTCAAATTTCTGTAGTTTGGCTTGCAAACGCAATCAAAGCTCGTCCTGCCCTGCTTGATGGCTCGACAATCCCAGGAAAGAAACTTGTGACTGCTGCTGCTGCTGCTGCTGCTGTTGTGTTGAGGTTTTCCTCGAGTAAACAGTGAAACAAACAGATGCTGCTGTTGCCGTTACGAAAACTCCCATTGTGCCGGGGGAAGCGGGATGAAGGGGACAACACAGCAGTGACAGCACGCCCAATTTGAAGCCCACGAAAAAAAACATCCGCCAGTGGATGCACATGGATTGCTGTACATGAGAGATTCGATCTGGGCTGGGGCTTCGCATCACACCCAGAGAATTTTCATCCACTCCCACGAGCTATTCCCGGGAGGGAAAAAACCTCAATTTTCACGAACCATCCGAAACTCTGCTAGTGGGAAAGTGGCTTTTTCTTGGACAGGACATCGCGAGTTTTGAAATAATGAATGACCTAATTGTTCATTCAAGTTTCGGGCTTCTGACCGAGATATGTAGCCCACCTTGCCTCCTCTGGTCGGCCCCACAATCTCCAGGCCAGAGGTTCTGGTCTGGTGTGGTGGTGGGTTCGGCTTCGGCCACCGCCTTACATCGCCTACCACGCTTCCTGACACAACGCACCTGTGGCTTGCACGCTGGGGGCCTTCATTGCCATGCCACAACAGCAGTACAGTTTTTTGACAGGCTCGTAACAGAGTGAAGTTGCTATGACATTCAAACACTAATTCGGTAATTTATTCGCTATCAATGTACTCAATAACCTAGAATGCTCTCTAATCTTTCACTCAATTACTGCTGCCTTTGAATCAGCCCTTCATAGCTCCTTCTGAATCTTCATCAGCCACATCGCAGCTCCATATCCCCCTTCATGCTTTCATTCACCACACCATCTTCAACAGCACCATCAATTAACCTTTGTAGAAGAACCTTACTCACCGGCTGCTTAATGCGTACGTCATCAAGCATCTGTTTCAGAAACTTAGCTCATGCCTGCTCCCTTGCTCTTACCTCTTTTTCTGCCCGCTCCTCCCTCATCGTCATCGTTCAGTGATCGCTCAATCTTGCTTTTGGGCTTGCTCTTGGGCCTTCCACTGTTTTCACAACCCTTCCCCCCCCCCCCCCCCCCTTCTGCAGCAGCATCTCCACTCAGTACGGATCATCATTCCTTCCTCCACACGACGTGAAGGGCAGAAGGGGCGTGAGAAACACCACATGAAAAGTATCAAACCTGCTACTGGTTGTTCAGAGCACAAAAATCACAGATACTGTACGTGACAGTTCCAGCATGGGTAGGCCCAACAATCAGCTGCCGTGGAGAGTGGAGGCGAATGGAGGAATGCCGAGGGCGAGGAGCTGATATTCTTCGCGTGGATCCTCCTTTTGTCAACCGCACCATCCTCACTCTCATCATCAGCGCCTGGACGATCTCAGTGAAGCAACCTTCTTCCCCTGCTGCTTTCGTCTGCCACTGTCACCACGGCTTGGCCTCACAACAGCCTTTGCTTGCTCCTCCTCCTCGTCGTCGTCACTCAGCGATCTCTGCAGCTTGCTTTTGGGCTTCTCCCTGCTCTTGGAACTTCCCGTGCTTTCACATCCCCTCTCCCCCTCTGCACCAGCATCCCCAGTAAATCTCCGGCCATCATGTCTCCCCACTGGCTTAGCTTGTTGCTTGCTGCCCTCCAAAGAATCACTGACAGCAGGGGAATGCCGTAACGAGTCTGCCTCGCGGTTCTGGTACCAGAGTGGCCCATCTCTAAGGACTGGAACCAAGGCAGCATGCGGCGCTTGGGTCTGTTTTGGACCATTCCTCTTAACCCATCCACACTCCTCACCAGGCTGCTCTACATCCCTCTCCCACCCTCTTAATGCCCCCACGGTCTCCTTCTCACCCTCCTCCTCTTTCCACGATGCCGCCTGCACTATGCCCTCACACTCCTCCCCCACCCACCGTGTATTCTCTCCCGCCCTGCTCGCTTCCCCCACCCTCTCCACATCCACACCCGCACCGCCATGTGACCGCCCACGTGCATGTCGCATAGTCCGCTCGTCACGCGCCGCACGCCGGGGGAGGCGGCAGTTAGGGAGCAAAAGGGAGGGCGCAGAGGGGCAGTCAAGAGTGTGAGCGTGTGATTGTCGTATGGGATGCTGCGCAACCAGATGATCCTCTATGGCATGGTGTGCAACGGAATGCTCTGCATGAGAAGGCTGCAGGAGCTGGAGTGAGTGCGAGCGCCACTGAGTCACGGGGCCAGTGCAGGACGCTGCAGCGTCCGCCGTCGCTGCCGCCTGTGCACCACTGTCACCACCACCGCCACGCCAGTCCGCCTGCTCCCACTCAGCGACTTCAGCCCACGGCTGCTCCGACTGGCCCTCCGCGTGCTGGCGACCGGAGAAACCCCTTCGATGCCGGTGCTCATGGCAGGAGGGCGGAACTGGGGGAGGTGTTATCTGCGGCGTGGGCTCGTTGTCGAGCAGCGCGCTGTCCCACGTGTGGAAGCGACTCAGCTGCCTGCTCTTACTGCCTTCAAGTTGGCTGTTGTTGCCCCTCCTCTGCCCCCTAGTAGCAGGCTGCGCGGCCGAAATGCCTGTGGCGATGGATGATTGCCGGTGAATTGCAGGGGAACTGCCGCCCAGGGAGGCTGATGGTACCAGCTGCTGACGTGGCGATTGATGACAGGCTGTGGGAGTTGCCAGGGGGATGAGACCAGGCGACGGGATGGCGCAGGGGAAGCGGGGGGAGGTGGCGGAAGGGGATGCGGGGTCCAGGGGCGAGGCTGAGGAGGGGGAGGAGGCTTGCGCCACGGCGGAGCGTCTTCCGCGTTGCGCCCTTCCCACGGTTGTCCCGCCAGCGGGGAACTGATTATGGTGGTTGGCGCTGGGCTCAGCGGGGCTGCGCCTATCGCGTCGTTGGCGGCTATGACTAGCGGGCGACTCGTCGTGGTTCTTCGCTGATAAGGGCGGTTCAGCCACGTCAGCATATTCCCCTGCATCGCAATCGATCACTAGAGCTGCTGGCCGCCGGATCTGACGGCTCAGCGTCGTTGTCGGCGCCCTGTCGCTTGGACGCTGCGGCTGCGCCTTGAGGACGGGCCGCGTGTCGACAGCAGCGGCGATTGCGGAGGGCATGACACGTGTCAGCGTCGTCGACTTTGCCGAATTGGCCTCCCCAGCCGCCAGGTCAGGGTCCGATCGGCTCTTCAGCATGCCCCGAGTCGCGGCGGTTCCGCCAGAAGAGCGCGGCGAGGGGTGATGGGGAGCGCAGAAGCCGCCGGGCTCGCCACGCTGGCCGCCAGGGCCTGCCGCTGCGTGGTGAAGCTGCAGTCGCGGCGCTTCTCGCGGCGACAGATGCGACGAGCGAACGACGTCGGTCCGCGCCCTCGGGATCGCCACGCGATCGAGCGAATCGCCATGCCACGTGTCATTGTGGCGCAGTCGGCGGGATTGAGGGACTGTGATTCTCGTCGCCGCGACACCGCCCATCTCGGAGCTCATTCTCAGTCCGGGCCGCGCGCGTGGCGCTGCTCGCGCGTCGTCGGATGAAGAAGTATCCGTTGTACGAGCACGAGCCGCGCCGAGTTGATCGGGCACTTGAAGATAATTCTCACGGGTTGCCTTCGTCGTGCGTTTCGCCGCACTGCCGCTGCTGCTCCGGCGGACACTCGACGGCGGCTCGAGCGCCGAGGTACTTGCCGAATGACGAATCGCGCCGACGTGGCCATTGGCGGCGACAATATCATGGCGGATCTGGGTTGGACCGCGCGAATAGGACGGCGAGTCCAGGGGTCGATTGTAGGGCGACTCGGCGGAGGAGTTATGAGGGGAACCAGTCGAAGCGCTACTGCTTGACTGGGAAGCCGCCAAACGCGGCGAGGCCGAGGATGACTTCGAGCCACTACTGAACGATGAGGAGGATGCGGTTCGAGAACCGCGCGAATTAGGCGTCGTTACGTCGTTTTCGTACCCCTCGGAGAGTTGCAAAGACAATCGCGGCGGCCCTCGCCGGTGGCTCGGCAGTTGCTGACGTGGCGACGGCTGCGCGCCTACCGGGATCCATCTGGTCGGGCCCGTGGTAATTCGAACACTGGGATCTGATTCGACAACATTACACGGCTTGTCGTTGTCGAGCAGCTGCATCACTCGCATGGCCTTCTCCGCGAATCGCTTTCTCGGCCCGTCTTGCGCGCTAAGAATTACCACTGGCGCAGCCATGGCGACAGGCAGGTTCTTGCAACCAACACGAAAGAACGACCTTCGAATAGCAGCTGCGCGAGAGAACCGTGAACCGTGGAAGCTATGCGAAGCAGCAATTTCATATGCACAAGAGGCCTAGCTCCTCCTGTCCTGAGAAAGGAACAATGGATGCATCGATAGCAGTGACAGCATCTTCGTGCAGCAAACATGCTGCTTGGCACACATGTGTCGGGGGTGCCCACTGCACAGACTCTGGGGAGATGCGGTGCGGCGGAGGGTCAAGTGGCAGCATGTGCGACGACGAGACGAGTGACTGAGGTGAGGAAACAAAACAAAATTCGCCTTTGTTCTGTACTGGGTTTCGGGTTTGGCGAAGGATGGCGATTCTCTCGTGTCTGTGGGCGGAGGATGTGGGGTGGGGTGGTCGAAGCTAAGCGAAGCGAAGGCGATTTGAACGACGAGTTACGGGGGTTGAGGTAGCAGTGCGATGGAAAGTGGGTGGCAAATCCGTCGTCACTAAGCTCGTGAAACAGCTCGCCACAACTTCAGTCGCTTGACTACACTCGCGACAAAAAACACTTAGGCGACAAACTTCTCCATCGTCAACAATCTGGGCAGTTGCATTCGAGATGTTCAGTTCAATTGGCACCCGTTACGCTCCATCTCCACATTAGCCAATAACGACGATATAAACCGAGGAAACCTATCGTACACGCATAATGAAATGTAACGCTCCAACATTTTGATTGAATAAGCTCTGCCATGTAGAGAAATATGCCAAGGTCACTTATCTCTGCAAGGTACATTACACAACCCTAGATTTATTCTCTACTTCAAGCTATTCTCCACGTCAATGACAAAGCGGTACTTCACATCACCCTGCAAGAACACAGCCATCCCATCAGAACAGTGCTGCGAACAAACAGACATCATACTGCCCATGCCAGTGTTACTTCAGAGTACCTTGAGTAAACGGCCATATGCCCTGTTGATATCTCCGATAGCAATTTTCTCAACCTGGGGAGCCACACCATTCCTTGCACAAAATTCCAACATTTCTTGGGTCTCCTTAATACCTCCAATTAAACTTCCTGCCACCATCTTACGCCCTGAATACAATGCCAGAAATTACACTGAGCCATGGAAACTGAAAAACGTGTTCAACCAACACGTAAGGCAAGCCTCGCAATTCAAGAAGCATGGAACCTGCTGCTGGTTTGAAACAGCATGAAAGCCACATGCATATGGCATCTTCTCCACAGTGAAAGTGAGTGTACTCACCGAACACAAGCTGACTGGCATGGAGAGTGAAGGGTGCTGGGGGGATGCCGAGGAGGAGCAGCTTCCCGTTGAATGTGAGGAGGTCGAGGTAGGGCCCCAGCTCATGCTGTGCTGAGACCGTGTCAATGACCACATCCAACGACCCTGCTGCTGCCTGCTATGCAAGACCCAACAGCAAGAAAGAGAGAGTCAGCGGGTTGATAGATAAAAGAAACACCAAAAACTGTGGTCCGGCATCTCAACAGGTACCAAAACGAGAGGATAGGTGATATGCCAGCCCACCTTCATGGCATCAGCATCTTTGGTGACAATGAACCTGTGCGCTCCCATCACCTCCCTCGCCTCCCTCTCCTTGCCCTGCGACGTGCTCAGCACAGTGACGTGCATGCCAAACGCCCGCCCCATCTGCACTGCCACGTGGCCCAGCCCGCCCAGCCCTGCCACGCCCAGGCGCATGCCCGGCTTGTTGGCGCCGTAATGCATCATGGGGGAATAGACCGTGATGCCAGCGCACAGGAGAGGCGCTGCCACGTCAGACGCCAGCTCAGCAGGGATGGAGAGGACACAACTGAGAGGGCAAGGCGCAGAAGGTGGGGGCATAGAAAGTCTATGGGGGGTGAGAGCAAGACGAGGGGTTGCGCAATAGCGACGACCAAAGAAAAAAATGAAGTAGTTGAGAGCACTTTGCATGACGAATTGTAACAAAAGGCTCAGGTTTAGACGCAATACGTACCGTTCATCGCAAACGATGAAGGAGGAGTAACCGCCGTATGTGGCCTCGCCAGACGGCGACCGCGGGTCGACGGAGTTGTAGGTGAAAATGCACTTGGGGCAGGATTGCTCCTCGTGCTGCCTGCACGCCATGCACTCACCACACGACCCCACCATGCACCCCACTCCCACTCGCTGCCCCGCTGCCACCTTGCTCACATCCGCTCCCACCTCCTCCACCACCCCTATGATTTCGTGGCTGCAGGGGAAGGAACAAATTAACGAGTTACAGAGAGAGAGAGAGGAGGTGAAGGGAGAAGAGCGGTGGCAGCAGCGCACGAGGCGGTACACCGCTCTGGATAAGGAAAGAGGAGCTTACTCAAGAAACATGGGGAACATAAGCATGAGCATGAGCATGAGCTTACCCGGGAACAATGGGGTACATGGAGTTGCCCCACTCGTTCCGCGCGAGGTGCACGTCGCTGTGGCAGATGCCGCAGTGCGTGATGCGGATCTTCACGTCCCTCCGCCCCACCTCCCGACGATGGAACCTCCACGATGAAAGCTCCCCGCTCGCGTCGCGCGCCGCGTACCCCACGCAGTTACCCTCGCCCTCCGCGGGAGCCATGGACGAGCAGTTTTAGTCCCTTTACGGCTGCTATTACTGAGGAGGAGGAGCTCGGAGAGAAGGAATTTTAGTGCCTGTTTTTGAGACGGCCGGAGGAGAAAAAAGAATGGTAACGAGGATGCAGGAGGCCTTCCCATAGTACTTAGAAGAACGCCAAAGAGGAAGTAATTTCACGCCTTGAATCTGCCACGTGGCGAAGCGAAAATGGCAGTGACGGGAATGAATATTCCTCGCGCTGAGAGATTGGCTTCGCGGATAGCTAGCCTCGCTAAAAATCTGATGATACATCATGCAGTGCCGTCGACATGGTTCGGCAGGAGCAAGGGAGGGCACCAGAGGTGTGGCGTTGCGAACCAGCGCTTTGGGATCATTTGTCTGTGTTTCCAAATTCCGAGAAATGGACCTTGAGAGTTGGATGTTGGGGTTCGCGTTATAATGCGGTTCAGTTGGGTATCCTCAGCTCTCAAAACGGTTCTTGTGAGATACCAAACAAAACGTGATAATGTACATGGAACTAGATATGTTCCAGCATTTCCTATATCAACAACTTAACGCTATCTAATTTCCACTAGACATATAAAGCAAACAAGAAGCTGTAGAATACTATAGAAGTAAGATAACACCGCAGTGCGCACCATACAAGGCAGGTCAGACACCACACTACACTAGTAATTTGTGGCAGTCACATCCTTCAGGCTATTCTCAACATCAATAACAAAACGGTATCTCACGTCACCCTGCAAAACCATTCGGTCCCAGCAAACGATGCAAATATCAATAACATCAGAAGAAACAAAGATGACATATACGGTACCTTGCGAACATACTAGTACCATAACGTTACCTTCAGCAAACGTTCGTGTGCCGTGTTGATGTCTTTGATATCAAGCCTTTCCACTATGGGCGTCACACCATTCTTTGCACAAAACTCCAGCATCTCTTGAGTCTCCTTGATTCCTCCTATCAACCCACCCGCAACCATCTTGCGCCCTGTCATGCCAATATGAAATCAAGCAGCAATGGCGCACAGAAATGGAACACAGGCAAAGGTGATGAGCCAACCGAATCATTTCCATGGAGGTGTGCATCAAAACAGGCAGGAAACGGGAGTCAGGGACCAGGAACTGAGCTCAGCCTAGAGCGAATGTCGCTGGCTGAAGCAGCACAAACGGCACTCAGATGGATATGTTTCACAAGCAGCAGTGTGATTACCGAATACAAGCTGGCTTGCGTGGAGGGTGAAAGGGGCTACAGGAATGCCAAGGACGAGCAGCTTCCCGTTGAATGTGAGGAGGTCAAGGAAGGGTCCCAGCTCATGTTGCGCAGGCACCGTGTCGATGATCACATCTAGTGAGCCCACTGCCTCCTAGACAAACACGAAGCATCCAGGAAGGTTGAGGGCGGATCCTTGGAAAAAGAGAGCAAAGATACTGGAATGGAAGCTATGGGACCCCTGTTGTTTCATGCCGGGGATGTTCAGAACACAAGTCCTCACAATAAGCCCACCTGCATGGCAGCCGCATCAGTGGTGAGAATGAACCGGCCAGCCCCAAACAGCTCCCTGGCGTCTCTCTCTCGCTCCGGCTGTATGCTCAGCACAGTGACGTGCATGCCGAACGCCCCCCCCATCTGCACTGCCACGTGGCCCAGCCCGCCCAGCCCTGCCACCCCCAGGCGCATGCCCGGCTTGTTGGCGCCGTAATGCATCATGGGGGAGTAGACTGTGGTGCCAGCGCACAGGAGGGGCGCTGCCACGTCAGATGCCAGCTCAGCAGGGATGGAGAGGACGAAGCTGGCAGAATGGTTCAGGGAAAGGCGAAAAAAAAGAGTGTAAGAAATAGCAACGGACAGGTCTATGAGAAAGCAAACAGAATGGTAGATCGAGAAGGAGAGGAGAGGGAGGGAGTGGGTCTACTCCGTGAAAACAGCATGAGTAACGGAGATGTTTCAACAAACATGGATAAGCAACATGGTTGAGCAACATGGATAAGCAACATGGTTGAGCAACATGGATAAGCAACAAGGTTGAGCAACATGGTTACACAACACACAGAGCGACTTACTGTTCATTACACACGATGAAGGAGGAGTAGCCGCCGTAAGTGGCCTCGCCAGATGGTGAGTGAGGGTCGACAGAGTTGGAGGTGAAGAGGCAGTTGGCGCAGAACTGCTCCTCGTGCTGCCTGCACGCCTCGCACTCACCGCACGACCCCATGATTCCCATCACTCCCACCCTCTGCTCCACCGCCACCCTGCTCACGGCTGCTCCCACCTCCTCCACCACCCCCACGATCTCGTGCCTGAACGAGATGCACCCATTGGATTGGAATGAAAAGACACGTTAGGTGAAAACTTCAAGTCTCAGGTCGGACAGAAGGCGGGATGGGAGTCATAGTGTCAGAGAGATGGAATATTTCTGAAGGAAGAGGAGAGAGCGGAGTGGCGACGGAGAGTGGGACGAGGTTGGTTGGAGTGGGACGGCAATATCGACGCAACGAGGTGACTTTTGAGTCGACTCAAAAGTCACGAGGTTGGTTGGAGTGGGACGGCAATATCGATGCAACGCAACGACTTGCAACAGAGCAGGTACATGAGCTTACCCAGGGACCATGGGGTACAGGGAATAGCCCCAGTCGTTGCGGGTGAAGTGCACGTCGCTGTGGCAGACGCCGCAGTGCGTGATTCGGATCTTCACGTCCCTGGGCCCCACCTCCCTGCGATTGAATCTCCACGGCGCCAGCTCCCCGCTCGCGTCGCGCGCGGCGTACCCCACGCAGTTACCCTCGCCCTCTACGGGAGCCATGGATTTGCCGCTTGGTAGGTTATGAGAGTGAGGGGTACGAGAACCTTAAACAGCGCGAATGCTCGACCTTGAGTGCTTGGGAGGACGGCTAGGAAAGAGCGCGCCGGCATGAGAGAGGCAATGGCCATAACGCGGCGGTATAGCGGACTCGGAGAGGACGCGCGCGGGGTGCGGTGAGCGCGAGAACGGGCGGTAACGGTCACGCATTGAGCTGAGCGTCGGAGTGAGTACCGTCGGACTGATCGAATCTGCGACTCAGGCGAAGCGCAGGCTGGCTGAGCCAGATCTGAGATTGCTCTGGGCCACATCGCGCGGATTGGGAGGACCGAGGTAGAGCAAAGCATGACGTGCATGGTGTGATCAAGCGAAAGAGATGCTTGCCTATCACACAGGGACCTCCTCAGTGGGAAACTCAGGGAGAATTGGAGTTCCCGAAGGAAGAACCTCAAGATTGAATGGGACTGCGTGGTGTCGTAAAAACACGTACTACACGTGTTATAGCAAACTCATTGAACACATAATGAAGCACATGAGCTTATTTCCTACCACTACTATGCTTATCTGCTACAAATCGTGCTAAGCAATAAACGCTAGAGCGAGACTAATTATCGCTATATGCCAAAAGGATCCGAAAATAAGATTCCTCATTGCTGCCTTGGGCTCTGAAGAGGGAGGAGGCGGAGCTGGTGGCACGCTGATGTCTCTGGGAATGGTGGCGCAATCAAGGGTCGTGCTCAATGCAGTCAATGGAGGGGCTCCCATGTAGTCACCGGGGACAAATCTGGAGGGGCAGCAGGGATGCAATGGTGAACAAACCAATGGGTGCAATGGTGGTACCAAGATAAACAAAAGGTCACCAGTAGTAGGTGTGTGCAGGGAAAGTGGGAGCAATGGCGCCACTCACATCAAGTGCTGCACACCGCTGATGTTGGCATAGGGAGTCTTCTGGCCCGTGGCCTCCTCCAAGCACACTATGCTCTGCTCGTATGCCGCCACCTGGCACACATAGCCCCCGCCTGCTGCCACGGGCCGTGAGAGCACAAGCCCGCCTCTTGGAGGAGACTGGGGGAAAACCATGAGTGAAAAAGGGGAAAAAAAAATGGAAATGAAGAATTAAGATCAATGGCGTGTGCTCATCGCTACAACCACTCGTTCGTTCACAATGTATGTGTGTAATTCTACGCACAAATGAATGATAGCTAGCAAGCTACTCACGTTTTCGCCCATCTGCTGCTCGAACTGCACGAAGGACGCCATGTTGCCGGCCGAGCACCCGCTGCCGCACTGCATCAGCTGCTGCATGTCCAGCCGCCCTATCACGCCGCCCTCCGCCACGCTTATGTACACCAGGTAGTGCGGCGGCTGTGAAGGAACAGGAGTGAGATGGGGGAACGGGATGGGGGAACGGTGAAGGGAAGTGTCATTTAGAAGGAAAACAAGGGAGCGCCTGAGCTGGCTGCTACTTGTCCTGGCAACCTATCATTTCCCTTATCACCCCGCCCTCCGTCACGCGGAATAGTGCCAAGGCTGTGGGCGGAAAAGGAGGGCCCAATGGGGAAGAGGAGGAATGCCAGAATGAGGAAGGGGGGATTAGCGGTGGGCAGTGGGGGTGAGCAAGGAGCGAGGGACATGGTGTTGCGCACAAGGCACCAGGAATGGCGCAAGGGGCTGACAAGGCGGAGGGGCCACTGTTAGTGCAGGTGAAAGGCGGGGGAAGGGGAGCGGGACGGGGAAAGGCGGATGTGGGGAAGGAAGAATGGAGGAGCCAGAGCGTCGTGAGAAGTGAAGGTAGGCAGAGAGCGAGTGCGGGGTTGGCAAAAGCGTTTCGTGAATCGCACCTTGGGAGTGAAGACCAGCTTCAGCGGCGTGTAGTCGACGGTGAACGTCAGCGGCTGCCACGCCGTCACGTTGGGGCGCGGCCGCGGCGTGGGCTGCAGCTGCCCGTTGGGCTGCGCGGGCGGCGGCTGGACGGCACTCAGCTGCAGCAGGTGGATGGCCTTGTTTGTCGCATCCACCACGAAGAGGAAGCTCTCGTCCGGCGCCATGTACAGCTCGCCCTGCGCGCGCGGCGGTGGCGGGGGAGGGGGAGGGGGAAGGGGGAGGGGGGAGAGGGGGGAGGAGGTGAAAGCGGGTGGGGGAAAGGTGGGAAGGGGTGGGAGAGGAGGTAGGAAGATGAGGTAGGGGCGGGAATCTGGAGAGGAGAGGATGAGAATGGAATAGTCGGAGGAACCACATCCCGCGGTTTCTGCTCGCTTCCTCTGCTTCTCCGCACCACCTTCCCTTTCCCCTGGTCTGCTCTCTTCACTTCAATCGCTCTCACTCGACTGAAATCGCGCGCAGTACAGCGAGCCCCCTTGGACAACAAACCCTTGCACCTTCCTCTCTCCCCGATGTGCTTACAGCGAACGGCCAGACGCCCACGATCAGGTTCGTGCGCGCGTCGATCTGCACCGTCGCCAGATTCCGCGTTTCCGCCAATCCATCTGCCGCGCTCGCCTTCCGTGCGCCCGCGCCCGCCTCGCTCACGCCGATCCCGATTCCGCCGTCAGCAGGGGAAAGGGGGGAGGTGGCGGGCGGAAGCGCGCAGGAGACGAAGGCGTGGCGCAGCACGCGCGCGTACGCGCTGGAGAGCGCGCCGGGACAGGCGCGCTGGGAGACGGCGGCAGCTTCCTGGAAGGAGAGGAAGAGCGCGGGCGCGGTGGAGGGGCGCGCGAGGTCGACGGCGTACACCCCCGATGATCCCGAGGTCGTCAAATAACCGCGCGTGCCCAGGTCTGCGCGTACGGCGGGGCATGGGGGAAGGGGAAAGGGGGAACGAGAAAAGGAGGCGGGGGAGGGGGGTTGGCGGCAATCCCGAGGCAGAATGAGTGAGAGAGAGCACCCACGTGAGCATGAGTGAAGGTGTCGAGGGAAGGAACTATGGAAGAGGGATGATGATGGTGGGACGCGACTTACTGGGGCTCTGCAGTAGGCGCGCACGCCCCGCGGGTAGCATGGTGTTAATGCCCTGGCTGTGCACCTCCGCGTAAGGTGGCTGCGCCGACAGAATGGAGAACGAGTAGCGGTCCGCCACGTCGGCCGCGTGCACCCACACCTCGTTCTGGGGAGCGGGGAAGAAAGGCCGGGGAGGAAGGTGCAGAGGGAATGATTTGACCGGGGAATGGGCGCAAGGGGTAAGGGAAATAAATAGACGGAAGGATGGGATAAGGCGTGGTGGGCGGTTGGAGGGACAAGCAAGGCTTGGGGGATGGACGGCGGAAGGCGCTAAGCGTTCACGAAGCGGAGGGGCAGTTGTGCTTACAGCGATGGGAACGAAGTAGACGCTGTCCGGCGTGTTGTTCAGCGGCACTCGCGCCGTGACGTCCGCTGCGACCGTGTCGAACACGTGCAAAGCGTCGGTGAGTTCCGGCAGGCGAAGCGCGCCCGTCGTGCTGTAGCTCGCCGCGGCCAGCAGCGTGCGCTGCGCGGGGCCGAACGCCACGCTGCGCCACTCGCCCCTGATGGCGGCACGCGGAAGGAAAACGAGACGGACGGAGCGAAGTCAGGTTCAGTGATTCAAGAAATGTCAGAGCACAGCAGGGATGTGCGCTCATGCGGAGGATGGCGGAGAATGGAGCCCCGGTGGGATTTGCAGGCAGAGAATGTCAGAACCATGCCTCTAGGTCGGATTGCGCCTGGGGGGTTGCGCGGCGCCTGAGGGGTTGCGCCATACTGAGGGGGTTGCGCCATACTGAGGGGTTTGCGCCGAACCTGAGTGGTCACGCCGTACCTGAAAGGGTGAGCGGGGCACTTGTTGGGGAAGGGCACGTGCCCCGATGGCCCCTTAAACGCGCGAAGTGACGCTAGCGGACTGCCTTTCGTCGGGTCGATCAGCACCACCTGGCTTCGCATGAATGGACAGCCGGGGCAGGCAGGCAGGCACGGGGAGGGGAGAGGGGGGGCATGGGATCATGGGTGGGCAGGGAAAAGGGCAAGAGCGGAGTCGCGATGATACCCAGCTGCTGTCACGCCGTCGAATGCACATCGTTTGAGGAGCCTAAGGAATGCACATCGCCACCCGTGAACTCCCGGCCTACTGCCCGGTCGCACCGCGCTCTCCCTCTCGCGCTCTCCGACCATCCTAAACGCTCATCCTGCTTAGAGACTGGAACAACAGCAACGGAATTTACGGCGCAAGGCGCGCCTAACGTGACCGACGTACGAACTTGCCTTTGTTGCGACGACAGCGCTCCGGCTTGCACCCGGCCAGTGTGGCGCCATTACAACTTCATTCGAGATTCTATCGATTATTCGAGCATAGAAACTAGTCGTCCGTATGCTTTCAAGTCTTACCGCTTCGCAGTCGTTACTTCAAAGGTGCTAACTACCTCAGGATTGTTGATCGTGCGCCGTGCCTCTACAAAATCCAAACATCCCGGACTCCTCGTCACGTGAGGTGAGACTTGCCTGGCCGTCCGCGAAGGCGTAGAAGATTCCGCGACTCGTGCTTGCGACCACGTCGGCATGAACCAGACGGCAGAGGAACACCAACCCGAAAAGCAACGACGCGGTGCGTATGACCTCTCGAGACGCCATGTTCGTCGGTATTCGTAGTCAGGCTGTACTTATAGCAAAGAACCCGAAGAATTATACCACAATCACGGGAAGAACCTCATATGAGTGTACGAACAGACATGCTCGGAAGGCTAGTCAGGAATATTGCGTGGTGTCGAACTACGGAAAGTGATGGTGCTGCCGACATACGAAGGCAGGCTGGGGCGTAACATGGATGGGATGCAGGTTGGAAGGAGTTGCGCGCGATGCAAAAACATTTTGCGCCGCACTGCTGCTGGTACGCTGCACATCCGCGCGCTGCAGAGGGCGAAATGTGCTTTCTGCCGACCTTCCGCGCGGTGCTGGTGTCGGAATTCCGCCTCTGCGCCGCTTAGGCGCAGGTTCTGGAGGGGATTGCGCGCTGCGGTGCTCCATAAGTGCTGGTGTAGGCATGTCAATGGCGGAGCTGCCACCAAATTCGCGCGTCGTGGGACTCTTGCGTGATGATTTGGCTGCCCTGGGTCAGCTGACATGGCAATGAAGCTGGTTCCTCAACCAAAAAGCGGCTCGCCACATCATCCAAATGCCACAGTAACGAGTCTCCTTGACCAGTGACTGGAGTCCCTTCATTACAAAAAACTCACGTATCGTGCCGCGCCGCTCATCCAGGAATTGGACATTCGCGTCGCGGAACGCCTTCCACTGATGGGGGCTGCTCGTGGACAGACAGGCCTCACCTCACCTCCGCCGCACGCAATTCCCATCCTATTCCCACCCCATACCAATTGTGAGCAACTAGTTCGTGCTTTGCTTGCGATGTTGGGGAGTCACTCGCTGGACTGAATCTGTGAGTAGCGTTGTCCAAGTTCAAGGAGGCTTGATAGGTTTAACCAAGTATAACCTCCGTACGGTGACAGCCAAGTAACCGACCTTAGCTTGTCGCTCAAAACTCCTCGAGAATATGGCTCCACGGGTGCCGTGGCATCTATGCCTATCTGCTTTAGTCGTGCTCGCATCGCTCTGCTCGTTAAGTCGTGCTGACGTAACTCTTCCTGACCCATCGCGACCCGGCCTCTTCTATTTCTTCATGTCGGGGCAGGTTAGTACGGACGGGGTGTGTTGATTATTTTTGGGAGATAACCACTGGTGCGTAACGCGGATTCCTGCCCAAGGGCATGATTTCTGTTTCTCGTTGCTACGGTCCCTTCAGCACGAACGTAAAGTCCACACACCTTGGAGCCGTGCACCCTATGCGCTTGTGCCGTCCGCTATCCCCCATACTTATCGCCGTGCCCGGCGTGCATGACGCCAAATGCGCCTCGCGATGCCCTTGCGTGCGACAGATCGTGGTGGTGGACCCAGTGTCGCAGAAGGTGGTAACGAAGATCAACCAGACGTCGCAAGGCGCCCCCGCGCCCTTTCCCAACTCCTGCCCCGGCCACCCCATGCAGTAAGCGCCGTGCCTCTTCGCTTCAATTAGTAACCACCGACTCGAGCTGCAAAACGTTAGGGGATCATACAGCTCATTATGTAGATAGAACAGTATTAAGTGCGCGCCTCACCGCACGGAAAGAGCGCCAACCCGCGTTCTAGGCCCAGACTGTCGTTTCGATATCAAGCCGTTACTCTTTCATAACTCCCCCCATTCCTTGCCCCGCCCTCTTCCTCAGCCCTTCCTCCCCATCCCCGCCCCGCCCCCTGTCCTGCGGCGCCCTTCCATTCTCCCCTCCACCCCGCGCCGCCTCCGCAGAGGCACGTGGAATCGGCACACGACGGGAATCGATCAGCAGACCATCTTCATCACGGCCAGTTTCCAGCAGCCCACGCCGCTGCGACTGCCGGGGCTGTCGGACATGGTGCTCGTCGTTAACACCTCGTCGCAGAGCGTCGCAGCGTCCGTCGCCGTGCCTGACATCCCCAACGACATAGTCTTCGTGCCTGAAGTGGTGAGTGCCCCCGTGGCGTGGTTTGTGGTGAGTGCCCACGTGGCGTGGTTTGTGGTGAGTGCTGACGTGGCGTGGTTTGTGGTGGGGATCGTCAATAATGACGTGAAGGTCAACAGCAATGACCGTTATGGTCAACAGTTCGTGAGGGATTCAGTGTGCTTGCCGCCCTACTTCTAGTATCAGCTTCGTACACGAGTAACTTCGTTATCAAGGACAAGAGCGCAATACCATCTTTCGTGATGGAGCGCCCTAAAAACTGAATCACGCACCTGGTGTACCCTTCAAAACAATCACAATCGCAGGGAAGCGTGTTTGCCCACGCGGACGTCAACGGCACCTTCGCCGTCATCTCCGCAGCGCCGCCGTACACCTTGCAGCGCGCGCGCTTCTCCTCCGAGTTCGCGGAGGCGGGCTACGGCCGCCTGCTCGCCGACTCGGGTAAGCCTCCCTCCCCGCGCTCGCCGCTCCCCGCGCGCGCTGCTCCCTGCGCTTCCGCTCTCCCCCACGCACGCTGTGTTTCTTTCCTTGGTCTTCCGCTCCGCGCACTTCCCTAGCCACCAAGCCGTCAGCTCCCCTTCCACCGCATCCCTCTCTCGATCCCGATATTACCCCTTATCACTCCCCCTTAGCGTGTTCACACTGACCCTCTTCACCCAGTGCCGCCCATCCCCCCCAATTCCTCCCAATTCCTGCCCATTCCCGTCCATCCCCATCCCCATTCCTTTCCTCCGCATCGCCCCACCCGTCCAATCGCTCGCAGCGCTGAACGGCAAGGCGTTTCAGACGGCGTCGCAGATGCCGGGCGTGTTTTCGCTGAACCTGTTCACGCAGTCGGCCGACGTGCCGTTCCTCGACTTCACCCAGACCATGCTGCAGTCCGAGCCATGGCTGCCGCCCGACACGCCCATCTACTGCCCCGGTGAGGTCTCGCTCGTGCGTTAACGCGTTCGCGCCTCTCTATTGTCCTGGTGAGTTGTCCCAGGGATATGACGCGCGCACGTCTCTTGTACAGGTGAGGTGACATGCTTGTTCCTTCCTTATCCCCCTCCCCCTCCTCCCTCTCCCCAGCGACGCGTGAGGCGGTGTATTCGGCGGTGAATCGGCGCGCGTACGTGTCGTGCGCGAAGGCGGGGAGTCCGCCCGACCCCAACGCGCCGGATCCGGGCATCGTCGAGATCGCCGGCGACGACAGCGTGCCCGTCGGCTACCTCAACTTCAAGGTACGCTACGCGCGGTAACTTCAAGGTGCGTGTCCGTGGGCTTGAAGGTGCGGGAGGGGGAAGGCGAGATGGATAGACAGGGCAAGGGTGAATCGGGTGTGATCCGCGCGTGGTGCACATGCGTCCATCCATCCCTCTCACCACCCTCTCACCTAGTCCGTGCCTCCCCTCTGCGCGTTCCTCTCACGCGGGAAGGCTATACCTGACACCAGATGAGACCTTCCCGCTGGCGGTGGACAGCGGGACAAACGCTCACATCCCTCACGCCCTCGCACCCTCTTGTCTCATCCTTGCCCCTCCCGTCCCCGTGGCCCCCTCCTTCCTTTCCCCTCCCCTCCCAGGCGGACAGGCTGTATCTGACGCCGGACGAGACCTTCCTGCTAGCAGTGGACAGCGGCGCGGGCGTGATCCGCATGGTGCAGATGCTGCCGGGCGTGGGCAGCGACCAGGTGTTCTCGCTACAGTGGCCTGACGTCACTCTGCCGCCCAAATCCATGCCCGACAAGATCCTCTTCTACCCCAAGGTGCGCAGCACAGGGCATCTGTTTTCCCAACTACCGCAACCACCCCCCTCTCCCTCGTCTCCTTGGCCTCCCTCACCCTACACCCATGCCCCACAAAATCCTCTTATACCCCAAGGCAAGCACCACAGCCTCCCTGTGTTTTGACTCGAACCTGCTCATCCCTTCGACCCTCCTCTGCTCTGCTCTGCTCTGCTCTGCTCTGCTCTGCTCTGCTCTGCTCTGCTCTGCTCTCCTTTCCTCCCGCCATGCCGCTCACTCCGTATGCTCCATGCCCACCACCACTGTCGTCTCCCTCGCCTTCTCCCCTCCCCCAGGGCATGTTCTACGTGGCGCTGGTGTTGCTGGTGCAGAGGTCTCCCTCCCACCTCCCTCTCTCCCACCCCCCTCCCCGCCCTTACCCCCAACCACCCTTCCCCCACACCTATCAGGGCATGTTCTACGTGGCGCTGGTGTCGCTGGTGCTCAAGGACAGCACGGTGGTGATCGATTTCAACAAGCTGCTCGCGTGTGGCGCGCAGTGCCCTCAAGACAACATTGCTGCCGCCCTCACCTTCATCAACACCGGCTACCATGTAAGCTGCACTCTCAACCGTTCTATTTCTCAGTTTCCACATGAGTTTTACCTTGCCCTCCTTCGTTTCCATTGGTTACTATGATCAGAGCCTTTTTTGTATAGCCTCCTACCTTCTTACGTTGACCCATTCCACTTACCCCTCTGTAAGCATGGCCTTCCTATCTCTGCCTCCACACACTCCTCAATTCCCTCCTGGCCCCCTGGCCTCACACCCTTAACCAATCAGGTGGCGCCACGTGCCAACATGGATCTGAGCATATCGTCCCGCAGCATGGCAGTGGGGCATCAGTTTGTGTGTGTGGCGGCCAATCACGACAAGGCGGTGCACTGTAGCAACCTCGTTAACCCGGCGAACAACAAGATCTACACCAACATGTTTGATGTGCAAGACATAGTGTAAGTGGGCCATGGTTACCTTCAAATGCTGCAGTTAATATGACCATGGTGCTGCCACTGCGACACCAGCTGGAGAGGAATGGGGTTTATGAACTGGAAATTCTACTTCATGTTCGTGGAGTCAATGTTTCTCCTCAATTGGTCTTCTCATCTTGCACCGAGCGCTACCGAGTGAAATATATTGCACCGTATCCATGTTCCCTTCACACACTCCTACCACCCCCTCATCCCCACCACGCTTGTGGAAACGGGCCAAACATGCGGGCAGCCATTTACTTCATAACTCAACATCATATCGGCTTGCTCCCCTCCCCACACCCCTACCATGCCCTCACCGCACCAGGTTTGTGGAGGGCAAGTACCCGGGCGATCAATCCTTTATCCGCCCCATCGACACCACCTTTGATTGCTCCTCTGCGCCCACCACGCTAGACAAACCGCCACCACCCCCCTCGCCCTTGGACCTTGCTGTTGCCGCGCACTTGAGAGGTTCCTAGTTGCTGCGCTCTAGCTTATGAGGTTCTCAACAACTGCCTCGCTTTCCCTCGCAGTGTCTAGTTTTCGCACATCCTTGCCCACCAGTCTGCTCGAGGGTTGTGACAAGTGCGTTGTGCTCTTCTGTGTATGCTGTCTGAAAACTAGAATATATGAAAAGGAGTTGGGCATCATTGTAGTTATATATGTTTAATAAGGGAATTGAGTAGTATTACAGTTGCAATAAAGAGTAATGTTTAGGTCACGTTTATCGCGTCATTTTACGAAATGCCAAGTTCGGAAATCAGTTTCTGGCTGTGCCTGTTTCCCATCCAGTACACGCAGGATTGCTGCATTGCGCCTCGCCTGCGCATGTGCACCATTGCGCCGTACATCGCGCGACGTCTTTTTCTCATCGCGCACGCCGCCTCTGCTCCTTCCCGGGAATTCGCTGCGCCCGTGCACCCCATGGCGCTTCGAACGTTGCGCCTGATGCCCATTTCTCCCAGTATTCCCCCCCTTGCGCGCTCGACTCTTCCGCTCATCGATCGCATCGCTAGTGTCCGCCATTTCAGCCCCAGTGCCGTGCGCGCTGCGTGCCGTTCGGTCGAAGAAACAAGCCAGAGCGACGATCGTGGAGGGGAAAGCGCGCGGGCTTCCGCACATCTAAATGGCGCGCAGACGTTTTCCGCGCGCAGCATCCCTGCGCCTTCTCTTCGTGAAGATACCCGCGGCTTGATGGGGGATTACCTTTCCCCCTCCCGCTCCGCCGAAAGCGCGCGGGAGCGAGGCGCCCCCGCGAACGGCGCCGCAACAGGCGGCGACACGATCGCGGCTGTGGTCACTGCCGTGTCGTCCACGTCAGGCGGCGTCGCGATTGTGCGGCTGTCCGGCCCCGCCGCCGTGAGCATCGTGCGGCGCATGTTCCGCCCCGCGCGGAAAGCGAACAGAGCGCGGAAGCAAGGGGGAATGGCCAGGAAAAGCGGAGACCTTGGCGGATGGGCGGGGAGCGCGGGGAACGGAGTGTGGGGAACAGATGATGAGGATTTCCGAGGAGCGGTGAGCGAGGGGAGCGAGTTGCCTGGAAGCAGCAAGGAAGGGGAGGGGAGAGGCGGAGAGGCAGTGGGGGAAAGCGGGGAGAGGGGGGAGGGCGGAGCGGCGGGGGAGTGGCGCGCGGAGAGCCACCGAGTGAGCTATGGGCACATCGTGGACGAGCAGGGGGCCACCATTGACGAGGTTCGCGCAGGAATTCCGAGGGGTCAGGGCTTAAGGGGTTAAGGTTCAGGGTTTCATGTTTGCCCGCCCTTATCCATGTGAGGTGCTCGTCCTCCCTGTGCTGGGCCCGTGATTGTACATGCGTGCAGTGCAGAGAGGACGTGGTGCAGCCACTCCATTCTGCCCTCGCTTCTTCTCCCTCGCTTCTTCTCCCTCGCTTCTTCTCCCTCTCATCCTTCTCTCCTCTCTCCTGCGCCTTGCAGGTGCTGGTGCTGCCCATGCTGGCGCCGCGGTCGTACACGAGGGAGGACATGGTGGAGGCGCACTGCAAACCTGCCCTTCCTGTTCCCTTCCCTCCTCTCTCTTTCCCCTGCTCCCCCAGGTGCTCGTGCTGCCCATGCTGGCCCCGCGCTCGTACACAGCTGAGGACGTGGTGGAGGTGCACTGCCACGGTGGCAGGGTGTGCGCCCACTCCTGCCTCGCCACCGCCGTCCACCTCGGCGCCAGGCTGGCAGGAGCAGGTGATGACGTGGCATGACGCGGTATGGCATTGTAGTGCTGTGCTGTGACATGGTGTGTCATGTGCGCCACACAGTCAATGCGCCACACAGTCAATGCGCAGGCACAATGCTGCACATGAGTGAGTGCCAAACTTGCCTTCACTATCTACTCTCCTTCCATGTCTTGCCTGCTTCGTCTCCTTCTCACTTTCTCTTTCTCCCGTTCCGCATTGTGTTTGGTACCCCAGGCGAGTTCACCCTACGAGCCTTCCTCAACGGGCGGGTAGACCTGGCGCAGGCGGAAGCCGTGGCGGCCCTCATTCGTGCCGACACCACCGCTGCTGCGCGCTCCGCCCTCGCTGCTGTCAAGGTGGGAGAGGGAGAGAGCGAGAGAGGGGTGTGGGTTTAGGGAGGAACATGCGCTGTGGGCCTCTTGCCTTCCCCCCCTTCGCCTCCCTCCTCACTGTCCCCCTTTTGCTCCCAATCAAACCCTCTCCCTCATTCTCTTTTCTGATTCACAATCCATCTTCCGCCATTCAGGGCGGCTTATCTCGTCACATCCGGGGTGTGCGGGCGGCGTGCATGGGCGTGCTGGTGGACATCGAGGCGCGCATTGACTTTGAGGAGGATCTCCCACCGTTGGATGCTGCGGACGTCAGCCGTTGGATCGACGCCATCTGGCAGCAGATCAACGAGGCACTGGCCACCGCCAATCGGGGCCGACTGCTGGAGTATGGCATTCAGGTGGGTTGGCTGCAACACTCACTTGGCGTTGCAATACCACTGTAAAGCAAGTAACTGACAATGCCTAATTCCGTGTCATCTCGACCATCGCCAGCACCTCAAGCAGCCTTGTACTTATATCTGCTCTCCTCCCCTCGCCCCTCCATCCTGCACGGCATTACTCAACAGGTAGCGATCGTGGGCCGCCCAAACGTGGGCAAGTCAAGCCTGTTGAACGCGTGGACGCAGTCAGAGCGCGCCATTGTGACAGACATCCCTGGCACAACAAGGGACGTGGTGGAGGCGCACCTGCACCTGCCACTGTCGGCGGGGGGCTTCCCCGTGCGCCTGGCTGACACCGCTGGCATCCGCCACACCACCGACGCTGTTGAGGCCATTGGTGCGTTGTGTTGCGCTCGTGTGCACTGCTCTTCCAGGCTGATCCTTGGGTCATTTTTGAGAGTCCCCAGTTCATCTATGCTCTTCCAGACTGAGTGCATCAAGGCAGCGTTGGAAGGTGGTTGTGAGTGCACATGCTATTACAAACGTGGCCGCACCGATCGTGGTTCAAGTTGGTGCCCTGCTGCAGAGATGAAGGTGTGGAGTCCTACTGTGCCTGCCCATGCCGCCTCACTGCATCTCCCTCGCTCTGTGCTTGTGCATCGTTGTGCCGCCCCTGCATTGCGGTGCTGGCAGGTGTGCAGCGGTCGGAGGCGGCAGCAGCGGCAGCGGATGTGGTGCTGCTGGTGGTGAGTGCAGCGGAGGGGTGGACAGCAGAGGACTCCGCCATCTTCCACCGCATCTCCCGTGCCATGGCCCTGCAGACAGAGACACAGGGCCATGCGGATAGGCATGCATATGCACATGCAGACACACATGCTGACGCACACGCAGACATACAAGCACAGGCGGACACACACACAGCGGTGGAGGGAGGGCGACCCCTGCAAGCAGGTGTTGAGTGGAGCCAACCCTTGAGCACAGCAGCTCCTGCACATACAACAGTAGCGACGGCAGCAGGGGCAGAAGCAGCGGTGGCTGCAGAGACAGCAGAGACAGCAGCAGTGGAAGAGGAAGCGGCTGAAGCAAGAGCAGCGGGCCAGCCAGTAATAATCGTGGTGGAGAACAAGAGCGACCACGCACACCCCCATGGCATGCACATCCCTCCAGCCGTACAGCACACCGTGTGGCGCCGCGTGGCCACCAGCGCCACCCGCCGCACCGGACTGGACCAGCTCGAAGCAGCCGTGGCAGCAGCTGTGGGAGGGGGGCTGGTAGCAGAGGAGGGGCAGCAGTGGGCCGTGAACCAGCGGCAGCAGCAGCAGCTGGTGCGAGCAGCGGAGGCGGTGGGGCGGGTGAGGGAGAGCATTGGAGCTGGGTTGGCGCTGGACTTCTGGTCCATTGATCTGAGGAGCTGCATCCTGGCGCTGGGGCAGGTGAGCGGCGAGGAGGATGTCACGGAGGAGGTGCTTTCAAATATCTTCAGCAAGTTTTGTATCGGCAAGTAGGGGCATGGGCGCTGTATTGCCGTGTATGTGACAGAGGAGGATGATGTGAGCGGCGAGGAGGATGTGACAGACGAGGTGCTGTCCAACATCTTCAGCAAGTTCTGTATCGGCAAGTAGGGGCGTGGGCGCTGTATTGCCTTGTCGTGTTCACTGTATTGGTTGTAACAATGCTTCGGAAGTGATAAATGCCGTGGAAATGCTATTTGAAAAGGCTCATGTTTAGTTTGTTTCATCGTTGAGTGTTACACTGAAGGTTACAGGGGGACGGTTGGGCAGGGGTTGTTGTAGATGCGAGGCGTTGAGCCCTGCCTGTGCCAGCTGGGCGAGCAGGATGCGCCCCCGCCTGTTGCGGTAGCGCGGAGAGAACTCCCCCCTCACCCGCCGCGCCACGGCCCGCCACACCATGTCCTCTGCCCCGCCGGGCCGTGGAGAGAAGGAGTAGATGAAGTGATGTGCCACGTGTGAGCGAGGGATGTGGGGTGGGGCAGGGAGGGGTGAAGAGTGGGTAAGGACGGAGTCCTGTGCACGCCACACGCTCTTTTCCTCTCCCCCCTGCCCCCCCACACTGCACTGCCTATAGCTGGAGGTGGGCAGAAGAGGAGGTGGAGAGGCTCCTGCCAGAGGGGGCATGTGGGAAGGGGAGGTGGGAATGGGGAGGACTAGTAACGGGGGAGGGCGTGTTGTGGTGCGGGCATGCGAGCACGGACTGACACCAACGCATTAGCACTGACCACCATGCTCGCCTGTGTGCGCCCTGCTGCTGCCCATGGTGGCTCGTGCACTGCACACAGCCACGGAGAAGCTCTCAAAGCACACAAACACAACCTTCTGTTCCTACACCTTTACGCGCCTAAAAAGGCTCTCGTACTTCCCTTCACACACCGCATACACCCGTGGAGCGACCCTCACAGCTCACTACTCACACAGCCTGCCTCGCACAGACAAACCCATCGAACCCATCTCACACACGACTCCCCCCTCTCGGCCTCTCACCTTCCTCATTGCCTGCCACTGCTGCCGCCACACGGCCTCTGTCTGCGCATGCAGCATTCCTAGAATGTACCCCGGGCGCACCGCGAGGGCGGCGGGGATGAGCAGCGCGAAGGCGGTGTAATCAATCACGTCCTCAAAGGGCGGGTCGAGGGCGTCGCTGATTATCACTGGGATGCACCCGGAGAGAATGGCATCAAACAGACAACAGCTGGAGGAGGTGTCACCTGTGAGGGGGAAGGGTAATGGTAGGGGGAGACGTTGGCGAGGAGGGGTAGAGAGGAGTAGAGAGGTTGTGGGAGTGGACAAGGAGGGCAAGAGAGGGTCAGCCAGGGTGTCAGCAGAATCCAATCCCTCCCTCCCCTCCGTGCACATGTACCAACACACCACTCACAATGCATCTTGCCTCACCTCGCGGCACCAGGCAGTACTTGGCTCGGCGCATGGTGTTGGTGGCCTGCGCCGTCATGCTGCTGTTGTCCGCCCGCCCCACTGTGAACTGCACCCCTGGCTGCCCCTGCAGCTCCCGCTGCACTTGCTGCCGAATGATGCCGCCGTGTGGGGGAGAGGGGAGAGAGGAGGGCAGTGAGCAACAGGGTGAAGGGTGCGAAAGAAGAATGAGGTGGGGAGGAGAGGAGCTCCCAAGCAGGGATGTGCAGGGGAGCGAGCGGTGCTGCATGCATGTATGCTGCGGTGGGTGACGCGCATGGCTGGGGAGAGTGAGCTAATGGCTCGTGTGAACAACCGAATGGCACTGACACTGACCCCCCAGCGGTCCGTGGTGCCCTGGAGGAAGAGCAGCAGGGGGTGGTGGGCCCAGCAGCCACGGACGTGAGAGAAGACGAGCAGCATGCGCGGTTAGTGAGAGAAGAAGAGCAGCATGCGTGGTTAGTGAGAGAGAGCGAATGGCTGCTGTGCTCGTATGAACGCGGCTGTGCTTGCACTGACCCCCCAGCGGTCGGTGGTGCCCTGGAAGAAGAGCAGCAGCGGGCGGTGGGCCCAGGCGCCACTGTCGTGAGAGAAGGGCGGCACCAGCGGCACGTACGGCACTATCACATCTCCGTCATACGATGCTGCCTGTGGGGGGTGGGGGTTGTGGGGGGGCAGACGATGGGAAGGAGGGCAGCACACGAGCACAGAAACCGAGAGGGCGATGATTGGAAGGGGGGCAGCACACGGAACGCACAGGAAAGGCAAGTTAATCAGCACACATGTAGCAGCACATGCATGATCCATCCATCACATCACATCACATCACAGGCACATCCCACCTGCGGCCAGTGCAGGTCGAGGTCGACAGCGAGTTTGATGGCGGCAGCAAGGGGCAGCGAGTGGTTGAACATGGCCAGCGGGTACACACACGGCACCACCAGCGGGGGCATGCGCCCTGCCTCTCTCCCACTGCTGCTGCTGCTGCTGCCTGTGCTCTCGCTGCCTGTGCTCTCGCTGCCTGTGCTCTCGCTGCCTGTGCTCTCGCTGCTGCCCCCACTGCCGTGAGTGGCGTTGGCCGCACTGCTGGCGAGTGTGGCGGCGTGGCGGCGGGCGAAGCGGGCGATGATGGGGTCCAGGATCTCACTGCCGTGCCGGGTTGGGTTGAAGGGATGGCATTGGGGGTGGGGAAAGGGGGAAGGGCGAGGGGAGAAGGCAGGACAGACGTGAGGGTGATGAGAAGCACATGTCATAATCACATTCAGAGATGGGTCAGCCAGAACAAAGGGGTAAGGACTGTTGCTGATGGTGGTGGCGATAGTGGTGGTGGTGGCAGTGGTGGACGGGGAGGCGGCACCTGGCGTTGGTGCGGAAGGCGAGTGTGGACCAGTAGGGCACGAAGACGACTTCTGCGTCCTCCACTCGCTGCACGCGTTGCACTGCTGCCGTGCCTGGCGCGCCCAGGGAGGCGTGACGGGCGTGGGGAAGGAACACGGTGGAGAGCAGGGCAGCATGGAGGGGGGAGACTGAGGGGTGGAGGGGGGAAAGGAGATAAGAGAGAGTGAAGTGAGAGGAGACGAGGAGAGAGCCAGAGAGCAAGCGTGAGAGGGGTACCTGCGAGGAGGGAGAGCGTGAGGAAGTATTCCGCCCCGTGCTGGCGGAAGTAGGGGTAATCAGGGTAGCACGGCACACTCACGTCCACCGCCCCATCTGTCCCCGCCACCGCTGCTCGCTCCCCCGCTGCCTCCCATGCTGCCGCTGCTGCTGACGGCGGTGGTGATGGTGAGAGCGGCACGGGCAGGTCCGGCAGGTCTGGCGTGGCGAGGAACGGCAGCAGGTGCGTTGAGAGGGCGGCAGAGCCGCCGCTGCTGCCACTGGCAGGGGATGCAACAGCGGGTAGGGACGAGGCAGAGGAGGCGGAGGAGGGGGAAGGAGGGGAAGGGGAGTGCAGCCAGGAGAGCGGCACGGCGTGGGGCGAGTGGAGACGCACGGTGCACGGCGGTGAGGGCGCGGCGGAGGAGGACAGGGCCGCTGGTGGCAGCAGTGACTGCGCCCCTTCCAGTGGGGGCGCGCAGGGGAAGGGCGGAGGGAGATGCGGAATGAAATGGGGGAAGAAGGAAGTGGGAGGAGACAGAGAAAGCGGGGTGGGTAAGAGAGGCGTGCGACAAGGGGAATCTAACCACCTCCGCCAAGGGGGAGAGGGCCAGGATGTAGGGCCAGGGGAGAGGCTCACGATGAGCGAGGGGCCACGAGGGGCGCGAGTCACCTGCGCGAGCGGGATGAGGTCGACGTTGTACGGCGCCGGCAGCAGCACCACATACACCCTCAGCGGCCGCTCCCCCTCGCCGCTCCCAGCGCCCCCTTCTGGCGACTGTGGGCGAATTCGAGCGCGCAACAGCGACGCCGTCAGCAGCAGGAGGAGCAGCGCGACGCACGACGCGGAGATGGAGCGCCGCAGCCACGCGCGCGACGCTGACGTGGAACTTCCGCCACGCGCCGCGCGAGAAGGCGCGAGGGATCGGGCAGGGTGGCTGGAGGCGGTGGGCGTGAATCGCGGAGCAATGCGGAGGAGAGACGGCGCCATGGCTGCCGCTGGGGGGACGATACGCATTACTCCGCGACTAGTCTGCGAGGCATGCGTGCAGCGGGGCGAGAAACATGACCTTTCTGGTAGCGACGCTGACGGACGTTGCGAATGCGAATGCTGCAGGGCGGCAGAGACGACGTGGACAGGCTCGCGAGTGGGTGTATTGGCGCGCAGTGGTGGAGCAGGTGTGGACGAGGTGGTGCTGGTGACTGGCACGGCTGGCGGTGGTGCAGCGGGAAAGCAATGACGACAGAAAGAAGATGGTTGCTGGGTGGACTTGCGTTGCTTGAGCAAATAAGCAGCAGGTTGCATAAGATCTTGCTGCAGACACAGGGCATCGCATTGCAAGATGTATTATCCTAGAGATTCATCGTGTGATAATTTGCACTCTAGCTGCAAATTACTCTGGGGGACACAAGTCCACCCAATTCCACTGAAAGAATCATATAGATGCTTGAATGAGCAACTACTCTTCTCAATGTACTAACAGCCCTTGTGCAACTTTGTGACTCGATCTAATCAGACAGTCATTACTGTATGGGGGATGGAATTAAAGCTACGTCTCCCCCAACATCCTTTCGAAAGAGAGTGCCAGCACTGCAAGGCGCCGAGCCGAGCAATCCATTTCTCGTGGCTCGGATTCCTCGCCAGCTGGGCGTGCTTTGTAGGCAAAACCAGGTGGGCTGCCACGTAAAGCTGACGTGGAACACCTCGGGTTTGGATTGCCTCGGGTGTAGCTTTTCCAGCGAAGCTCGACGCTTTTTACCCTGGGCATTGGGATCTTCATCCAAGCTTCATTTCACGCAGAAACGGTTGCTAGTTGCTGCTGCTCCAGCATTTGCTGGTGATCGTACCCTAAGGCAGAATTTCTGATTTGCCAGTCACGAGCGTCCGAGGCATGGCTCCCGCAACAGGAATCGCCTGCTCGAACGCAGTGTCGCTACGGCTGGGCTCGTCCGCAGCCGCCTCGTCGTCGTCGTCTTTCTGCACAGGCGAGCCTCGCCAAACCGCTCGCATCGCGTCACGTAGAAACCGAGGGCATGGCGGCGCTAGGAAAGGTCGTCTGGTGGCCATGGCTGGTAGACAAGACGACTCAGGAAGCAATAAGGACGTGGCGGGAGCGGGGATGACGTGGGTGAGCCCTGATTGGCTGACGTCATTGTTCGAGAAGCTGCGCGGCCCCGACGACTCGGGCATTCCCGTGGCGGACGCGAAGCTGGACGACGTGAAGGACCTGCTGGGCGGCGCGCTCTTCCTGCCGCTCTTCAAGTGGATGCTCGAGTCCGGCCCCGTCTACCGGTCAGTCATATGCTCGAGTCCAGCACCGTCTACTGGTCAGTCATATGCTCGAGTCCGGCTTTGTCTACCGGTCAGTCATATGCTCGAGTCCAGCACCGTCTACCGGTCGGTGATATGCTCGAGTCCGGCCCCGTCTACCGGTCAGTGATATGCTCGAGTCCCGCCCCGTCTACCGGTCAGTCTTATGAATGCGTCGTTAGCGATCGACTTTGATCGCTTTTTGGGTGCCCGAACGGCAATGGCGTGAAATGTTGGTGCAAGAGATGAAGTGCAATGGCCTTGCTGCCCGCTTGCAAGTCTGCGCGATCAATTGATGTCCAGGAGAATGCTTGGATAGGAGAATGAGGCAATGGGTTCTAATCTTGTCAGGAAAAAACACTGTCATGCGAAACAACTGTCGTGAGGGAGCCCGCTGTTGTCAGGAGATCATGCATGAATCCGAAACTTGCCGAGAAGGCCCCGTGGGCTGCCAACGATGCCCGAGTCATTCCCCCACAAACCCCACGCGCAGGCTGGCGGCGGGGCCACGCAACTTCGTGATCATCGGCGAGCCGGAGGCGGCGAAGCACGTGCTGCGGGGGTACGGCGCGACGTATGCCAAGGGGCTCGTGGCGGAGGTGGCGGAGTTCCTCTTCGGCTCGGGCTTCGCCATCGCCGAGGGCGACCTCTGGACCGTACGCGCTCTCTACGCGCTCTGCCATATGCCGCACCCCCGCTGCCGCATTTTGCACCCCACGCTCGCTGCCTCCTTCGTGCTCTCCTTCCGTTGCGCCGTGACTCGCGTCTGCACGATCCACGTAGAAACTCTTGCCCGTACGCCCACACCCGACATGTGGCACGTGGTGCGTGCAGGCGCGGCGGCGCGCAGTGGGCCCGTCGCTGCACCGGCGGTACCTGGAGACGATGGTGGACACGGTGTTTGCGAGCAGCACGCAGCACCTGGTCGACAAGCTGCGGCGCAGTGCGGCGCGCGGCGAGGAGGTGAACATGGAGGCGATGTTTTCGCAGCTGACGCTGGACGTGATCGGGCTGGCCGTGTTCAACTTCCAGTTCGACTCGCTCTCCTCCGACAGCCCGCTCATCCAGGCCGTCTACACCGCGCTCAAGGAAACCGAATCGCGCTCCACCGACATCCTCCCCTACTGGCAGGTGCGCCCAGCCGACATCCTTCCCTACTGGCAGGTGCGCCCAGCCGACATCCTCCCCTACTGGCAGGTGCGCGCGCGCGCTGCGGTACAGACAGGTGAGGCGGTTGGTGATGTGGGGAAGTAGAGACATAGCGTGGTGCTGAGCTGACTAGTCATCAGTGACTCAAACGGTGTTACAGGTTCAGAGCGGACGTAATGGCAGGGATGGCGGGGAAGGTACGATTTGATGGTGAACTCGTTAACTGCGATTCACGTAGCAACCGAGACAGCCTGGGAAATGTTGAACGTATAAGAGTAAAGCTCTTAATATGACAGCATTTTTGGAATGTTGCGAATGCTGGCTGGCGCAGGCAGAGACGCGTGTGCTCTGTGCACGTGGTGCGTACCGCCCGTGCATTCCCCCCCCCCACTGCCGCTCACAACGAATTCACTGGAGGCCCCACTTTCAGTGGCTCAGTAACGGCACCCCCCGCCTCCCCTCCCCCGCCGTCTCCACCGTTCCACTGCCGTTACAACTCCCCTCTCGCTTCCCCTCTCGCCTCCCCAATCACATCCCCTCCCCCACCCCCTTTCACCTCACCCCACCCTCCCTTCCCCCGCCGTCCCCCAATGCAGGTGCCATTGCTGTGCGCGATAGACCCGCGGCAGCGCAAGGCGGCGGAGGCGGTGAGGGTGATCCGCGAGACAGTGGAGCAGCTAGTGGCGCAGTGCAAGCGCATGGTGGAGGCGGAGAACGAGAGGAGGGGCGACGACGAGGAGTACGTCAACGAGAGCGACCCCTCCATCCTGCGCTTCCTGCTCGCCTCCCGTGAAGAGGTGCGCCCTGCTGCCGTGCCCCCCCTGTGTCCACTCTGCTCTTTCCCGGCCCCGCTGCTCAGCAGTGTGCACTGCCACACACACCCCACACGCTCCACGTGCTGGACACATGCACACACTGTCTTCCGCGCCTCCCCTTCCCCTGCACACCCCCCACCCCCCCAATGCGTGCCTGTGCGGCGGGCAGGTGTCAAGCGTGCAGCTGAGGGACGATCTGCTGTCCATGCTGGTGGCGGGCCACGAGACCACCGGCTCCGTGCTCACATGGACCGTCTACCTCCTCGCCCAGGCACGCCGCCCGCCCTCCCCGCCTCCATAAGCCTCCCTTGCTTCGCTTCCAATCGCCCCTTCTCTGCACATTCTCCCTAATTTCACTCATTTTGCCGTTTTTTCACTCATTGCCCCACTTCTCACTCATGCTCCCACCTTACACTCATGCTCCCACCTTACACTCATGCTCCCACCTTACACTCATGCTCCCCTTTTAACACATTCACTCCCCTTTCACACAGTCACGTCTCTGCTTCACCCCTTGACCATCCCGCCTCACCACGTTTCCCCGCCTCCCCCTTCCACTCCCGTACCCATCCATCTTTCCCCATGCTGCTGGTGCACTGCCCTTGGCAGCACCCGGAGAAGATGGCCAAGGCACAGGAGGAGGCGGAGCGGGTGCTGGCGGGGAAGAGCCACCCGAGCCTGGCGGACACAAGGGAGCTCAAGTACCTCACGCGCTGCATCAACGAGTCCATGCGCCTCTACCCCCATCCCCCGGTCAGTGGTAGCAATGTGACTCAACATGGACGACCCTGTGAGTTCACGGGGGAGGCCAAGGCCCTTCACGCTGCAGCAACGGGTGCGTGCAGCACTGCACTCGTTGGCATTGAGCCTCCGGTGAGTGCATGTGATTGCCGCTTGTCTCATGGTATGGCGCGGACCAGTCCACAGCAACTGATGCGCCATGGCGTGGTGTGGTGTGGTGTGCTGGCATGCTGCATGTGTGCTGTGCCCTGCGTGCATCATTGTATCCATACCCGCTGCCTGCCACTGCTGGACACATGCATGCACGCACCAAGCAGTGCAGCTGCTGTTCGTGCGGGCCCTCATGCAAGCGTTACACTCTCTCTGCATCGCATGTGCCCCCTCCTGCATGGCCCTCCTCCCCTGTGAGCCGTCTGCCCTGCCCGCCTGCCCCTGTGTGCCGTCTGCCCTGCCCGCCTGCCCCTGTGTGCCGTCTGCCCTGCCCGCCTGCCCCTGTGTGCCGTCTGCCCTGCATGCCTTCCCCTGCCTGGGCTGTGCCTGCAGATTCTCATCCGGAGGGCGGTGGTGAGCGATGTGCTGCCAGGGGGGTACAAGGTGCAGCCAGGGCAGGACATGATGATATCCGTCTACAACATCCACCACTCGCCGCAGGTGCGTGCTGCCCTCCCATGCCCTCTCTCTCGCCCCCTCTCTGCACCACGCCTGCATTTCCAAACCCTGCTTTCATCCCTCCACTCGCACTCACTCCCTAATCTCATTCGCAATCCTTTACGCCTCAAACCCCCCTCTTCTTGTGGACTTATGATTTTCACGGCACCAACCCACGTGGCATGACCCGCACGGCGTGGCATGGCATGGCATGGCATGGCATGGCACGGCATGGCATGGCATGGCATGGCATGGCATGGCAGGTGTGGGAGCGTGCGGATGAGTTTATGCCGGAGCGGTTTGACCTCGATGCTCCCGTGCCCAACGAGGTCAACACCGACTACAGGTGCCCACACCACCCCTGCACTGCACCACTCAATTTCGCCTGACATTGCCTGTCCTTGCAACTGCTTACCTCACATCTTGTCTCCTTGTGTCTCTTGCATTAGATATCATCAACCCTTTCCTTCCCTTTCCGTTTGTTGTCGCACTTCTGAGTGATCCCTGGAGGACACCGTGCCCCGCCATCCCTGCTCATCACTGCCATAACCATACCCCCTTGGCACCAGGTACATCCCGTTCAGCGGCGGCCCGCGCAAGTGCATAGGGGACCAGTTTGCGATGCTGGAGGCCATCTGTGCGCTCTCAGTGCTCGTCCGCGAGTTTGACTTCGCTCTCGTGCCCAACCAGGACATCAGCATGACCACCGGCGCCACCATCCACACCAAGAATGTACGCATGCCACTTGCTCTTTCTGCACCTTACTGCACCTGTCTGCACCTGTCTGCACCTGCTGCAGCTTCTCACCGTTTTTGTGTTTGCTGGCTTTGCAGGGACTGTACATGACTGTCAAGGAGCACACAAGATCACCCATTGCCGCATGATTAAAAGCACTAGAGTGCAGGAACAATTCGAAGGTATAGGATGTGAAATAAGGGGAAACCCTCCCTGGCTTGACAAAATGGAAGAACATGGTCCAAGCAATTCAAATGATGTGCTGGTACATGCTGTGTTGGTGAGGTGATGCACTCAAATCCTAGTGGAGTATATGCAGATGCTGTAAAGCATACAATTTTTTACGGGAGCTCACTGTAGAGTAACAATTCGCTGTCCGCCCGCCTGCACGAGTCGTACAGTACGACACTCCCAAGCAAGGGTGTGCTCTGGAAGCCAGTCTTGTACTGTACAAATAATTCCATCCGCTGTGAGCGTAATAATTCGCGTATTACGTAACAAACCCTCCTTGTTCACGTATGTCCGTCTTGTTTTTGTCGCTTGGCTAGAGAATCGATTCGCACAGAAGGCGCCGCCATAGCTAGCTACGTTGTGCGCTGTAGTGGTTCGTAGCATATTCTAGGCTCCTGTTTGCTGATAGAATCTGTTCATCTCGCGAGGCGCGCACGCCATGGCGGGCGAGCGAGAGGGCGTGCCGTCGGATTTGGAGCAGCGGCTGCAGCGCGCGTGGATGCACGTGCAGCTCAAGACGTGCCGCATCGTGCAAGGTCCGTGCGGGCGTCGTGCTGCCTCTCATGCTGTCCTTATGGTTCATGCCTACTCGTCCCGACGCGCGGTATACGAGATCATTCTTGTGTGATAATATTTATTTGTATATATCGCGTCGATCTCCTCTGCACTTCCCGCACTCCCCTCGTTCCTCCCCCGCGCTCCCCGCGCGTTCAGATCATCCGTGCGGCGCCCACCACGGTGCGCACACACACTCGCACGGCGGCAACACGCGCGGCGGCGCACAGAGCCAGCAGCAGCCGTCGCTACCGCCGCCGCAGCGCACGGCGCGGGATCTGACGGCGACGCTGCAGCAGCTGTGGGGCAACACGCAGGAGCCGCTCGTTCCGCCCGCTGACCCCCACCAGCCCCATTGTGAGCCGCGACCTCCGCCGCAGATTTCCTATCCCTGCTCCCTTCCGCCCGACACCTCTGGCGCCTCATCGCAGGGCAATCGCACAGCCTCGCCCGGGCCGTCCACGAGCTCGTCCTCCTCGCACTCCAATGGCCTCACGCCACGTCAGCAGCCACAGCCGGCGGCCGTGCCTCTGAACTCCGCGGGCCAGCCCTGCCAGCAGCTCTCCCCCTCCCCCTCCCCCTCCACCTCCACTGGACAGCCCAGCCCCGGCGGCTCCCCCGCGCCGTGCGCCTTCGTGCCAGGGCAGGCGGGCGGCGGCAGCGGGGGCGTGTGGCCGCGGCACGGGCCAAACTCGGTGGCGGAGCAGCTGCGCGAGCTAAGCGCGGCGGAGTGGATGGCGCGCGTGCAGCAGGTGGAGCCGGTGGCGCTGGGCGCGGAGTACATGGAGGCGGACTTCTTCCGCGGGCTGGACGAGCTCACCTTCGCCTTCGACGAGATGGAGTCGCTGCTCCCCCACGACCTCAACCCCGCCTTCCTCTCCGCCCCTCCTGGCGCCTTCCCCGGCGCACCAGGGGACACAGGCGTGGGCATGGAGATGGGTGGGGGAATGGGGATGGGCGAGGAGGAGCTGCTGGGGATGACGGTGGACCGCATGGTGCAAGCTAACCAAGCCAGGGATGGCGGGCAGGGCGGGGGAGTAGTGGGGACGGGAAGTGCGAGGTCGGGGGACAGCCAGGGGCGCGCGGATAGCCAAGGGCGCGCGGAGGAACTGATGGCGCAGATGCAGCGGGCTGCGCTCAACAGCCCGAACGGCTCCCAGGAGGGGTGGCAGCAGGGGGGGCAGGCGCAGGGGCAGACGATGCAGCAGACGGCGCATCAAGTGCAGGCGGCGCAGCAGCAGGGGGAGCAGGCGGGAGGAGGAGCAGGCAGCAGCGGTGGCACGGGGCGGTCGGCGGTGATTCAGATGCTTCTCGACATCGCCAAGGCCATTGTGTCCGGCGACCACCTCCGCGTGAGAGCAGCGTGCCAGGCAGAGAGAAAAAGAGGCAGAGAGAAAAAGCGGCAGAGAGAATAAGAGGCAGAGAGAATAAGAGGCAGAGAGAATAAGAGGCAGGGGAACGTTAGAGGGTGAGAAAGGGAGAGGCGGAGCAGATGAGGAGGGAGCGGGTTATGGTGAGGAGGGAGCGGGTTATGGTGAGGAGGGAGCGGGTTATGGTGAGGAGGGAGCGGGTTATGGTGAGGAGGGGAGAGGGTACATTGAGGTGCTGTGAGCGACAGTTTGATGGGAGGTCATTTCCCTCAGGTGCTTCACCTGCTGTAGCGCCCTCAGGTGCTTGAGCTGCTGTAGCGCCCTCAGGTGCTTGAGCTGCTGTAGCGCCCTCAGGTGCTTGACCTGCTGTAGCGCCCTCAGGTGCTTGACCTGCTGTAGCGCCCTCAGGTGCTTGACCTGCTGTAGCGCCTCGCAGCCATTTCCCCCATGGCGTCACACGCCTGTGCTTCTCCTCTGCCCTACCGCCAACCTCTCCCTCCCCCCGCCCTCAGGTGCACGCGTTGGTGGAGCGCCTGACAGCGGTGGCGTCAGTATACGGGGACGCCACACAGCGTGTGTCCGCCTACTTCCTCGAGGGGCTGCTCGCCCGCGCCTCCGGCACGGCGCCCACGGGCCCCGGCTGCCCCGGCAGTGACGGCGCGGGCGCAGCGGGTGCGCTGGGCATCTACCGCTCCATCGACTGCGACGCGCCGCTGCTGCGCGCCTTTGAGGTGCGCTCTCTTCTCCAGAGGAGGGGGCGGCTTGGAGATGAGGAGGGCTTGGAGATGAGGAGGGCTTGGAGATGAGGAGGGCTTGGAGATGAGGAGGGCTTGGAGATGAGGGGGGTCCTGTTCGGGCTGTGAGGGCGGCAGATGAGGTGCCATGGTGCTGTTGGACCGTGTGAGGTGGTGGGGCAGTGGAGTGGCTGTGAGGACGCATAGTGTTGTTGTCGCCTTGTCAAGTGCATGCTGGAAGGAGGATTGTATGACAAGGGGGACGGGTGGGTGGACACTAAAGTGCATTGACAATTTCTTCGCACACCCCCATGTCTCCCCGTCCTTACGACACCCACAACCACCAGGTGCTGGTGAGTGCATCACCGTACCTGACGTTTGGGCATGTGGCATGCAACAGCGCCATACTGGAGGCCATACAGGGCGCGCGCAAGGTGCACATAGTGGACTTCGGGCTGGGCCACGCCGTGCAGTGGCCGCCACTCATCCAGGCGCTGGCCGTGCTGCCGGGGGGCCCACCGCATCTGCGCATAACGGGCATCGACCGCCCCTTTGTGGCCGGCATCCACAAGGGCTACTGCCTGCGCCAGGCCGGCCAGCGCCTCCGCGTGCGTCTCCCCTTCTCTCGCTCTCTCTCCCCACCAACCAACCGCCCGCTTTCTCCTTGTTTCACTTCCCACTCCTCCCGTTCGCATTTCCTTTCCATTTCATGTTTCCACCATCACTTTTTTGCTTTTTTCCCTTTTCACCTCCTCTATCGTTCCTAGCACACTCACAAGAGGTAACTCCCATCACAGCCTCAGCATCACTCACACATGACGCGACCTTCCTCTCCTGCCCCCCTCCCATCCCCACCCTTCCACATTGAGCGGTGCAGAAGGTGGCGCAGAGCTGGGGGGTGCCGTTCACGTTCAACTTCATCCCCATCAACCTGCCGGACCTGCAGCCATCCATGGTGCGGTGTGAGGCGGACGAGGTGCTGGTGGTGAACTGTGCGCTGCGCCTGCACAACCTCATGGACGAGTCCGTCACTCCCTCCAACCCGCGCGCTGCTGTGCTGCGCACCATGCGCGCGCTGGCACCCGCAGTGACAACGCTGGTGGAGCAGAACACGAACCACAACTCGCCCTTCTTCCTCAGCCGCTTCCTCGAGGCGCTGCATTACTACGCCTCCATCTTCGACGCGCTCGATGCCTCCGTGCCCGCGGACTCGTCGGAGCGGCGGCTGTTTGAGCAGCGGGTGCTGGGGCGCGCCATTGTGAACGTGGTGGCGTGTGAGGGGCAGGACCGCACGGAGCGGCAGGAGCCGCTGGGGCAGTGGGAGCGCCGCGTGCACCGCGCCGGGTTCGTGGGGTACCCCCTCAGCCGTGAGGTCGTGGCCACCGCCACCGCCCTGCTCTCCACGTGAGTGTGCTGTGCAGGGCGCCCGTGCCGTGCGTGTGCTGGGCTGGGCTGATCCATGCGCGGGGCCCTTGTGATGCCGCTGTTCTGTCCTGTAGCGCTCTCTCTTCTCCTTCTCAGCTGCTGCCTTCCCCTCCCCCATGGCAGGTACAAGGGCCCGTACTCACTGTCGTCCGAGCAACCCAACAGCCTCACTCTCAACTGGAAGGACCAACCGTTGCTTGCCATGTCAGCGTGGCGGCCCAACAGCTAATCACAGCACATTGTGCACGTATGGAGGTGAAGTGCCATGTGGTGATGGGCGGCACGGTGCCGAGGTGGTCTTGTGGTTATTGGAGGAGTGCCATGTTTTGTTGCCATCTGATGTAATAAATGCATCCTCAGCACACATACCGGTAGGGGTGTATGTGTGGTGTTGTTGCGCCGCCGCAGCTGCTCAAGACATGCCAGTTTTTGGTTTGCATGGTGTTGGGCGATGGTGGACCTACCGTATGGGCTGCTTTGAATCAGGATCCTGGAGGATCACTCCTCCGGAGTCCTGACCCCCCCCCCCCCCCAGCAGTCAACACCTTTCACCATCCGCTCTGCAGTGCTCTTGCTGGGCTGGAGCGTTTATTATTTTCTGTTGTATGTTGGGGAAATCTCTAATGCCAAGTTTTACAGTAGTTGAGGCACGCCTTTCAGGATGTTGTGCCAAGGCACCTGTAATCATAGCTTTTGTACATGTACTGTATATCCTATGTGCTTGTTCTCTTACATGTAGGTACATGTGATGAAGATTGATCTGGTGTTGGGGGGATAGATTCGCACGCCACTGCCAGGAATTCGTGTTTGTGTTTCGCGACGCTCGTCGACGTCCCAACCAGGTCGCACCACAAATGCGATTTCGCAGTTGATCCCCTTTTCCAAAAGATTGGGCAGCTGCACACATGTGTGCGATTCGACTCCGAACGATGAACCTGGGTAACCCTGTGCCTTCGCTGGGAGAATCGAAGGTGTTGCGCGCAAACCCCAGGGGGACATTTGAAGAGAGAAGATCCGCATGTGTGTCTTGCGCTGCGCTTTTCACCACTCCCCTTCCATCCCCCACCCCCTGGATGTCGTCCTTTTCCCGCCGATCCCTTTTGACGCGCTCCTTGCGCTCATTTTGAAATCCTGCATCATCATCATCCGCGCCCGCCATCTCCCAAACCCAGCTCTATTGCTTGTCCCCGTCCCGTCTCTCCCCCCTCCCCCTCCACACAAACTTGTGATCTCGAGTCTCGACCTCCAGAGTGTGACGGACTTCAACCAATGAGAAGATGTGTAGGCCACCAGTCACCTTCATATCTTTTGTGAAGGCCACCAACTTACGCGTTCTCTTGAGCAATTGAAGGAGAACAGACAGGAATTTACAGCACTAGGCAAATATTATTCGGGCGTTGGTTGCGGAAGAGCCATACATTATTCTGAAGCATTCCGTGACAAGGTTTCAGCGTGAGTCTTTGCCGCCATAAAGCGAGCTTGCAAGCCGCGAGTATTCGGACGTTCATTCGGGAGGCAATAGATTGTCGACCATCATGGTGATCCGGATGTGAAACATTCTCATGAAAACCACCATGATCTATCGTGATTTCGCGTCTTGATTGAGTTTCGCGCGGCTCAGCTCGGTCACTTCCTCTGTCACACAAGCATGGCAACGCTGAGCCATCGCTCCGTGTCGCTGCCGCAGCTGCACCCGTGGATTCGCGGCGTGGAGCACGAGGAGCGCGGCAGCGACGCCGTTCTTGAGGCACAGTTCGGGGAGCAGAGCGACGTCCCTGTGCGCTTGCATTCCAACAGGTCGGACGATCAGCAAGGGCAGCCGCAGCAGCAACAGGTGCAGCAGGAGGAAGAGGTGCAGCAACAGCGGCAGCAGCGGGAAGAGCAGCAGCAGCCCGCCAGCGCGGTGTTGGGTCCTCGGTCCGTGGCCGTCTCCCTCACCGTCGACCACGCCTTCGGCTTCGCTTCCCCAGCCGCCCTCCCGCCCGCAGTGCTCTCCGCCCTCGCAGCGCTGGCGGACTCAGCACGCCACGAGGCTGGCGGGTGCTCCGCACACACAGCCGAGGGGACCGCGGGTGGCGCCTTGCCTCCAGCGCTTGAAAGCATCCTGCGAAATGCACCTCCCGCCGGCCCGGGGGACACGAATTCGGTTAATGGGTCGGCTATTGCAGAGAGGTATGGGCAGTGGAGCGGTGAGAGCGGGTCCTACTCCCTGCTGCTGCCCGCTGATGCCCCTGCCGTCACAGCAGCCACTGACGGCGCAGCTGACCGGGCAAGCCTGTCAGAGACCCAACAAGCATCAGCATCAGAAACAGCCGCTTCAGCAGTAGCAGCGACAGCAGCAGCGGCAGTGCCGGAGGAGGCTCAGGCAGCGACCGTGGAAACATTACAAGGCGCACCTGCAGACAAGGCCACCAGTTGCCAACTTGCCAGCGCTGCGCCTGCTGCCGTGCCACCAGTTGTAGCAGCCGCGGCGGAAGCAGCGGCGGGCGAGGGCGAGGAGGGGGCGGAAGCAGCGCTGCTGGCGGTGGAGGTGCGGTGGAAGGGCGCGCGCGCGGGGCTGATGGGGTCCATGTTCGGGCGCGCCGTGAAGCGCGGATGCAGCAGCGCACAACCCCCGCGCGGGCCGCACGGCATGGTGCGGTGGGAGGAGGGCTTCGCGCACGACTGCCACCTGCTGCCCTGCTCCGCCGCCCTGCGCGCCGCCCGCGGGCAGGGCGAGCCGTGCGGCAAGGGCTGCGTCTTCCAGCCGTGGGAGGTGGTGCTGGTGGTGCACAAGGTGGGACCCCTTCTCCCCACTGTGAGAGGACTCGCTCCCATGTGTCAATCACATTCGTTCCACGTGTTTTATAACACAAGGATATAGGTCCATGTCTTACGTACATTTTGTAGCCTTCCGTTTGCCAAGCCTTACCTGCCGCCCCAAATCCACCCTCTCCTCCCCTTCGTGTGTGTGTGTGAGTGCGTGCGTGTGTGTGTGCGTGCGTGCGTGTGTGTGTGTGTGCGTGTGTGTGTGTGTGTGTGTGTGTGTTTGTGTGTGTGTGTTTGTGTGTGTGTGTGTGTGTGTGTGTGTGTGTGTTTGTGTGTGTGTGTGTGTGTGTGTGTGTGTGTGTGTGTGCAAGTGTGCTTGTGTGTGTGCGTGCAAGTGACGTGTGCACGCTCACGGCCTACAGCATGCACCCAGCAGGCCCAGGGAGCGCCCCCAACAGGTGGCGTCGGTGGTGCTGGACGTGGCGCCGCTAGCCTCGCCTCTCTCCACGCAGCCCCTCATGCAGCCCCTCACGCACCACCTGCTGCTCCTCTTCGGCCCCCCCGACTCGCCCCCTGTCGGCCTGCTACAGGTCGCCGCTCACGCCACTGCCTCTGCCTCCCCCGCACTGCGCTGCGCCCTCTCACCACCCCTTCCATTCAGCCATTATAAGTTCGCTTTTTCCTTTCATTATGCGTCTGTGTGCCAGCAGTACCCTGAGGCGTTTCTGCTTGTGTCTCTGTGTGCTGCTGTGCGCGCGGCAGGTGACAGTGGAGTGCACTCAGCTGCCGCTAGCAGCGTCCGCCCCCCCATCCCCAGCCGCACTCCTTTCAGCTGCACCAGTCCCGACCCAAGCCTCAGCAGCGGCGGCAGTGGCAGCCACACCAGCCGCGGGCGCGCCAGCTGCAGCAGGGACGGGAGTGAAGGAGGCGGGGGGTGGCGGGGTGCACCTGGGGGGGCTGTGGGGGTGGCAGCGGCGCAGCCGGGAGAGCAAGAGCCCCGCGCTGTCCCTGGGCGCGGCGGGCAGGGCAGGCGAGGGCGAGGGGCACGGTGCTGCAGGCAGCGGCAGCGCGGAGCAGAGCAGCGGAGGTGGGCAGCAGGTGGAGACCGATTGGGTGCAGCAGGGAACGGACGGTGATACAGAGTGGGAGCAGGTGCAGCGGAGGGCGAGTGATGGCGAGGGCGAGGAGGGGGAGAGTGGGCTTGGCGGGCAGGGAGTGGAGGGACGGCAGGGGAGCAGCGCGGATGGGGTGGAGGTGGTGGGTGGTGGTGGGAACACAGCGAGGCACACAGGTGGTGCCGTGGAGCAGCAGGGAGCGCGTGAAGGTGCTGGGGCGGAGGGGGAAGGCGAGTCCCTGGCAGGCAACAGGGGGGCGTCTGGCAATGGGGACGTGAGCGGTGGTGCGGACACAGGCGCTGGCGCGAGCACAGGTGCAGGTGCAGGTGCAGGCACGGGCACGGGCACGGGCACGGGCATGGGGCTGCTGGATGTGCTGCGAGGAGGGGTGTGGCGGCGGTCAGTGTCGGTGGATGGGGCAGGCCGGGCCCGGGGCAGGCCAAGCGGGCGACAGGTGGCGGGGCGAGGTGGCGGGGAGGATGAGGGGACGGGGGAGGAGGGCAGGCAGGGCGAGAGCAATGAGCGAAGGGGCAACATGTTGTGGGAGGGTAATGGGGTGGTGGGAGGTGAATGGCTTGCTGTTATCACTGGCAGCACGGACAAGGAGGCAAGGACGCCGGACATGCAAGGACAGGGGGAGGTGGCGGTGTGGGAGGCGGCACGGGAGGATGCGGAGAGAGGGGAGGGAGGAGAGGCAGAGAGTGAGTGTGAGGAGAGCGAGGAGGAGATGGTAGCAGCAGAGGCGTTGTGCTACGGGCCGCTTGCAGAGGTGAACCTGGGAGGGCACGTGGGAGGGCCTGTGCACACACGCATGCGCATGCTGCACCTGCTGCCCCACGCTCTGCCCTCGCCCCCTCACACCCTCTCCCTGCCCGCCTACCCGTCCCGCACTCATAGTGACACAGGGGGGGCTGCAATGCAAGAAGCGCATGGGGCACCACTGGAGGGAGGCAGGGAGGAAGGTGGTGAGGAGGGAACAGTGGGCGCAGAGGGTGTGGGAGGTGCAGCGGAGGAGGAGCAGCGAGCGACTGCTCCTCTGCGGTCCCCCTTAGCACCGCGCCTCTTCACCTTCACCTCGCCCTTCCTCTTCTTCTCCTCCACCCCCCGCCCGCCCCCTGCTCCTGCTGCCACACCCGACCTGCCCTCGCCACCAGCGCCACAGTCCGCATCGTCAGCACCAGAAGCCACGTCTGAGCTCACACCTGCTGCCTGTGCCGCCTCCACCTCCACCCACGGCGTGCAAGGCCCTCCCCCTCCCCCAGGCAGCAGGGACTCGTCCCCCATCTCACCACTCGACCCCCTCCCAGCCGACGCTCCCCCCCCTGCTAAGTCCTTTCTCCTGCCGCCCTTCCTCCCAGCTAAGCCCCTTGCTGCCACATCAGGCGGAGGTGGGGCCGGGGGCGGGGGTGGGGGTGGAGGGGGTGCGGGCGTGGGTGCATTCCTGCGGCGGCCGCTGCTTTTCCTGCGCACGCTGTCGCTGCAGGAGAGGGGCGAGCCGCTGCTGCACAAGGCGTACGGGGAGGAAGGCGGAGACGAGATCGACTGGGACAGGCGCAAGGCACTCGAGGCCGAGCAAGAGCATCCCCTTTACAAGCTGCCTCTGGAGGAGCAGCAGGCAGCGAGTGCGGGGGAGGCAGAGGCATCAGCGGTGTCCCCGTCGGCATGGAGTGTGCGGGAGCTGTTTGGAGACGAGTTCCGTGTGGGGCAGTGGGAGCGCCGCCAGGTGGTGAGTCGCGACGGAACGGCACGGCTGTGTGCGCCGGTGTTCCTGGCGACTGTGGACCAGTGCCACGCCACTGCTGCGGGCGAGGGTGCGTGTGCGCTGCTGGTGGCGCACATAGCAGCGTGGGTGCATGCACACGGGGAGGGCACGCTGCCAGGGCAGGCGGAGCTGGACGACCTCATCCGTGCCGGGTCTGCTGACTGGCGGCGCCTGCGTGCCCTCAGCGACTTCCACCAGCGCTTTCCCGATGGGCACTTTGACCTCGACACAGTGCTGGCTGCCGTGCAGCACTCCCACTGCGATGCACCCCCTCATGCGCAGACAGACTGCGGCGGGAAGGCTGTAGGTGCAGAGGCCAACAGCCAGGCACCGGACACGAATGGTGGAGGAAACACGGACCCTGGTGCCCCGCACGCTGGCAGCAGCAGCAGTGGCCGCGATGGCGGTGGGGTGGCAGTCATGCCCTGGCTGCCGCTGTGTGTTGTGCCCAGCCAGTCGTTCGTGGGGTTCTTCCACCCGCCCTGCCTTGCTGCCAGACGTGCCAAGGAGGACGCCACTCGCACGCAGGGCAGCAGCACAGCAGAGGGTGATGCGGCGGATGTGAACAGGGGCGAGGTGAGAGCGAGCAGTGTGGATGAGAGCGGTAGAGGTGCAGAGGAGATGGATGGGGAGAAGGAGGGGGAGGTAGTGGAGAAGCGCACGAGCAGTTCGCCAGACATAGGAGCAAAGGGAAATGGGGCTGGAATCTTGTTGGAAAAAGGAAAGCAAGAGCACGCATCTAGTGCGGCGAGTTCTGAAAGTGTGGGGGAGAAGGGCATGCAGCAGCTGGCGTTTCTGGAGGGCATGCTGTCGTTTGATGACATCTGGGAGGCCGTGGTGGAGGCAGGCGAGGGCGTGTACATCGTGGCGTGGAACGACCACTTCTTCCTGCTGCTCCTGCGCCGGCCCCAACCCCGCCACCTCCAGCCCCAGCAGCAGCAGCACCAGCTTGCTGCGGTGCAGGTTGCATTGGATGGGGCGGTGGGGGAGCACACAGGTGAAGGCACAGGCCATGGCGGCACAGGGGGGGAGGCGAGCGGGGGGGAGGTGGAGTGTGTGGTGATCGACACGCTGGGCGAGCGGCTGCATGAGGGGTGCTCGCAGGCCTTCATGCTGCTCTTTGACTCCTCCTCCTGGGTTCACGTGGGCCTGCCGCCCCCAGCAGCGCCTGCAGGCACTGCTGCTGATGGGGCAGGCGCAGGAGGAGGAGGGGGAGAGGGTGGTGCAGGTGACGGTGGTGGGGGACAGGCGAAAGCGCAGGGCACTGTTGACAGCAGTGAGCAAGGTGGTAGGGCAGACGAAGCAGAGAGGGCAGAGGGTAAGGCAGGCGGCATGGGTGCTCAGATGCCCAAGCCAGAGACAGGCAGGCGATGGGGTGTGAAGGCAGGCAAAGGCAGTGGGAAGGGCAAAGATGGCAGTGGGAGGGGCAAAGGCAGCAGTGGGTTGGACATTGAAGTAGGGGGGGTGGGTTCCCGTCGACATGGGGTATACGACACAGTGAGCTGTGAAGCAGGTGTTGCTAAGAAGAAAGACGTGGAAGCAGCACAAGGAGCGCATGTGGCAGAGGTTGAAGGGGTGGTTCTTCAAGCAAGGCAATCGAATGAAGACACTCATGGCATGCCCGCTGCCATCACTGTCACTCCAAACCATGTAGATAGTCCTTCAGCAGACACCTGCAGCCCACCATGCGGAGATGAGTCAGCATCCACTGCAGCTGGCTCAGTGCTTCCTACAGCAGTGCATGCAGCCAAGTCAGCATGTCTGCTGACACACACTGACGGTCCAGCACAGTCACCCATACACGAGACAAAAGCCAGCACCACCAATTTTGACGGGTGTGCAAGCAGTGAGCAGCCCAGCCAAGGCGCGTCGAGCGCTGCTGCTCCGTCCCCTGCCTGCACTGCCACCGCCGCATCCCCTCCCACCTTGGCGGCACCTGCTTGTGGCGGGGAGGGCGAGGGGGAGGCAGCTCCGGTGGCGGCAGGGAGGAGGGTGTGGGGATCGGAGGCGTGCCGAGAGTACCTCAAGGCGTTCCTGGCGGCGGTGCCATTGGCGGAGGTGGAGAGCGACCTGCGCAAGGGGCTGCTGGCGTCACCTGAAGCCATCCACCGCCGCCTGCAGGTGGAGCTCCACTTCACCCGCCTCCTCTGAATATACGTCACACTGGCCATAAGACGGCCTTACATACAGACATCTGATCTGCCCCATTGGCAGAAGGGTTTGTTTTCTACCCTTTCATAGATCCTGATTAGTGTACCACAGGGTCCACAGACATACTGAATTTTGTTTCCCTAAATTGCTCATTGTTAATGTAAACAAGAGGCGACGAAATCGTCTTAGGGTTGCGGAGCATCTTTACTTAAGTACATTTGGGTGGTATCGTTATATAAAACTTAGAATCATGTAACACTTATTGCTGCTCATTCAAATGCATATTTGTAAAACGTCCCGTGCAAGAATCGAAACGGACACCTTCCAATCTCACGCTCGTTCTCAAACCACTACGCAACGTGCTACTGTCTTACGAAGTTTTTTAAATTACTCCTGTGTTTTGACGCGATGAAATCACTCACCTCTCTAAGGGTTTGTTTTTCCTTTCTCTCCCTCGTCTAACTCATCCAGATCTGTTCCCGCAAGCTACTCCCACTCCCGCTCCACCTAACTCTTCAAGGTCAGAACTAATATCTCAACTATTACCGGTAGTTAATGGTCCAACTATATTTCCCTTAGTGTCGTATCCTACTCTTTGCGTATTGTGTTCGCCGTTTTAAAGTTGTGCAAGTTGTTTAAGATAGGTTCTCAATTTTCAGTTTATGTCGTAATAGTCTCTAGGTAGTCGATAGGCCTGCATTCATTCCCGTTGTTTCATTCACGCCGCTTTTAAGCTCTCGACCTTGCATTTTCTCGTTTTCATTCGAATATTAAGTCAGTTTTCAATGGCTGCAGCCCTTTTTGCTACGTCGTTTTGAAGGGTTGCAGCCCTATTTGACGTAGATCCTAGTAACGACCAAATATACAATCCATCGATCTTGAAACTGATCTACTCCATGTGTGAATTTGAGGTCAATATTATATACTAGTCATTTGTACCCTTTTGCTTGTTTCTATGGTCGTAATGTCGTATTCTACTTTTTTACTAACGTGTTCGCCGTTTTTAAGCTATGCATGTTGTTAAAGATAGGTTCTAGGCTTTCAGTTAACGTCGTAATAGTCTCTAGGTCGTTGATAAGCCTGATTCCATTCTTGTTTATTCACTTTGCCGTTTTCAAGCTTATTTCGACCTTGCAGTGTGTCGTTTTCATTCAAATAGTGAGTCGGATTTCAAGGCTGCAACCCTTTCTGCTATGTCGTTTTGAAGGGTTGCAGCCCAATGCGATGTAGATGCTGTCAGAATCCCAGCCACTAACCACTGGGATAAAAGGGCTTGTTTGTGTAGCGGGTAAGTGCGCCCATAACCCCCCAGGCCAACGTGCCTGTAACCCTTCCCTAGGATCAATCGGGGATCACCAGTGGACCTCTGACAGATGCTAGCAACTATAAATGATACAATCCATTGATCTACTACCTAGGTCATTTTGAAGCCGAAGATGATTGAATTTGATCTACTGCATCCGTTAATATCCTGTTTTTTTGTTTCTGTGATCCTCCACCTAACTGCAGGAAATGCTCAAGCACGTTGTTGTCTCAATTCCTTGTCTTTTTAACGGTGAGAACATGTTGGAAGAAAGAGAGCGAAAGAGAGGGAGAGTACGTAAGAGCAGCGGCAGAGGATATGGCACGGGTATAGGGAGAGAGCGTGCAAGAGAACGAAAAACGAAGTTGCTGTTTTGTTTAAATCTAGGTCAAATTAGAACTTAGTAATTAAGGTCTTTTTCTTCGTATTCTTTCGAATATAGATCTCTTAACTCAATCCTCAATTCCTTCCATTTTTTATAGACTTGATTTTATGTTCTTCATTCTTTCCCCTTTTGTAAGCCCTTTTCTGTACATGCACTTTCATTTCTTTTTTATTCTTCAACATCACCTTTTTCGTTCTCTCTCTCGCTCCTCCCTCCGCCGTTTTCTCTTGCATTCCTTCTTCCTTTCTATTATATTCTCTCCTTGTTTCAGTCCTTGTCATTCTTCACCTCATGTTTATCGCATGCTTTCTTCTCTCCCTTGTTTCTTCTATTCTTCTTCGTGCTCGTTTTTTTTCTCGTTATCATAGAATACTTTTTATTCTCCGTTTTTTTCCTGTTTGGTTTGCCATTTCTTTCACTTGGTCAATCCGTGTATGTTGTTTCTGTTTGGTTATGATGTCATTCAATTTCTCTGCTTTCTCCCTTTTTCTGCCCCTTCCTTTCCCCGCCTCCCTCTCGCTCCCCCTTTTTATTATATCCTACCCTCCAGAGGCTTTGCTGTACCATTGGGAAGTCAAGACCAATATAGAAACTAGAAGTATATCAGTGTTGACTTGTATGATTGATGGTACTGTATTGCTTTGGTAGGTTTCTTTTGCCTTTTTTAATGACTTGTCTCAGTTTTTGCGCGTGCATATGTGTGCGTCTGTGTGTATGTGTCTTTACGTGTGCGTATGTATGTGTGTGTGCATTCATCCATATGTATATTGCATTGCATTAACAATGCATGTCTGTGTCTTTTAAAAAAATGATCAAACTATCAATTCCGAGAAGGTTCTTTGCCCACTCAGTGAGTGTGTTCACTTGAACTGGATTTGATGGATTTTGATCATTTTTTTAGTTTACACAGATTGTGTTGTTTTATGTAGCAGTTGGATGATTCAGCAACTATGCTATCGACCTCCCCCCCATGCTAGGCAGCACATACATGGTAGCACATACATTACATTTATGCATTTTTCATTAAATATATGGTTCATTATATCCATCCATATACTTCATCTATGCATAGTATAATCCGGCATATGCATTACGAGATACACAATCAAACGTTCACGGTGACATCATTTTGACAATATAGATTCAATCTAGGCAAACTAGAAGGAACACACTACGGCACGTGGTAAATTATGGTGGCAAATACGTAGCATTTAGTCACTTAGCTACCATTCGCTAGATATTTTCCGTCGTTTTTATAGAGGACTGAAAAAAAAATTGTACATAACGATTGTAATAGGTTGCTTCGCAACCCAAAAATATAAGACTCCTGGTATAAAAACCCATGCACAAGCTACCATCAACAGTCATGGCCAGGATTTAAGCGTAGGCATATGCCGTATCGGGAACATGCGCCACTATTTGGAACCATGTGCCGTCTGATGCATCACGTGCCTTCAAATCCTAGCAAGGACCCTGGTGGGCCCATACTCTTAGAAGCTAGGCATGAATGGCTCAAACTATCGAGTGAATTTGGTACAAGGAGAGAACCTTAAGGGGTTGTACCCCACATTATCTACCCCACTACAGCCTACCCACAAATATAGCATATGCATATATGTTTGACACACCCCCATAGGCAAACTTGGGGAGAGCAAGAGATCACAAGATTTTTCAAGAAAAGCAAAGCAAGCTCAGGGTGGATCACAACGTCACCACACACACTGAGCACAAGCAAAGGGCCACAAGGCCAGTCCACATGCAGAGGTATATATGCAACAAGAACAGTACAGTGATCTCTACCTAGTAAGAGTAGGCATGCAGGTATATTTATATATAGAGCACAGTACACACAAAAGACTACAGCAAGTGTGGAAACGTAGGCTTAAGGCCCAACAAAGTACAAAAGCGCTGATGGTCACCAGACCGAGTGGCCACGTGAGCAAGACGAAGCTGACCCCGCTGCTGCAACTCTCGAGCCAGGAAGTAACGTAGAGCGATGTGCTTCGTTCTGTGCTCTAGTCTGTGCTCCTCACACAAGGCAATGGCGGCCTTGTTGTCGACGTACAGAACTGGAGGAGAACGAGGCCTCTCTCCTAAGTCGGTCAGCAGGTAGGTGAGCCAGCGTAACTCCTGAGCAGCCATGGCTGTGGCGTAGATCTCAGCCTCACAACTGGAGCTGAGAACAGAAGACGAGTGAGTAGAACGCCAAGAAACAGAACCGGAGCCAAGGCTGAAAGTGTAACCCTGTGACGACCGCTGCGTGCAAGGTCGTCAACCCAAGAAGCGTCTGAGTGCCCAGTGAGGACCACGTCTCTCCGCCCTCCAAGCACGAGCCCCATGCCCGATGTGCTGCACAAGTAGCGCAGTACCCTCTTTGCAGCATCCCAGTGCACCTTTCGGTGCCGACCAAGAGCCACGTAGCGGGCCAGAAGGCCAAGAGGGTACGCAAGGTCAGGACGAGTGCAGGTCATCAGGTTCATAAGGCAGCCCACTAACTCTGGGTAAGGACCACTCGGCTCTACAGACTCGTCCGAAGGTGGAGCTGAGAGCGAGTGACCTGTAGCCAGAGGAGTGGACTGTGGCGAGGACCAGGTGAAGCCGAAGCGCTGAAGGACCTGCTGCACCATGTGTGACTGAGTCAGAGTGATGGTGCGGCGTGCTCTGTCCCGGGTGATCTGCAAGCCAAGGTAGCTGCGCAGCTCACCCAGGTCTGTGCACGTGTGTCTCTTATGCAGCTCCGACTTCACCAGGGCAAGAGCCTCAGTGTCAGCAGTGGCAAAGACCAAGTCGTCGACGTACACGAGGATGTAGAACGGCGGCAGTGAAGTGTCGGTGCGCAGAAACAGCGACGGGTCAGTAGTCGAAGGAGCAAACCCAAGAGCCGCAAGTGTAGTCCTCAGTGTGTCGTGCCACTCACGAGGCGCCTGGCGGAGACCGTAGACTGGCCGCCGGACGCTCCACTAGGTACCAGGCGGGAACGATCTCCTCGTGCAGGCTGCCCTGTAAGAAGGCTGTGCTGAAGTCCAGTGAGTGAAGCTCGTAGTCACGCTGAGCGGCAACGTGCAGTAGCACCCGAAGAGTGGTCATCTTCGGGGTGGGGGAGAAGGTCTAGAAGAAGTCAACTGTCAGAATCCCAGTCACTAACCACTGGGATAAAAGGGCTTGTTTGTGTAGCGGGTGAGTGCGCCCATAACCCCCCAGGCCAACATGCCTGTAACCCTTCCCTAGGATCATCGGGGATCTCCAGTGGACCTCTGACACCCCCCCGCACTGGGATGCCCGAGGTGCACACACCGGGATTCGAACCCGAGA